TCAAGTCTTTAAAAAAATCGTGTCATATGGTGTCTAGCTTCGGTCATTGTGAACAAGGGGGCACTTATTCAGACGTAATGAGTTTTATTCAAATATTTGTTATTAGAACATTTAACTTAAAAAGTTTGTATAGCGTACAGGAAATTGTGTATTGTGTGAAATGTCCTTAAATAAAGTGACGGCATAGATATATGCAATAGATACTGAAGGAGTTCTTATTACTGACCCAATCTTCAATATTGTGAAATAACATTTAAATAAACAGTATATCATGTACTTATATAGCCAAACTCTTCGTACGACATTCATGTAAGTGTATTGTATGAGATGTCCTTAATTGGATCGAACGCATAGATATATGCAGTAGATGACAGAAGAGACCTTACCAAAAATAGAAAATGAGGCCAACCCACAAAACGAAACAAAAAAAGACATTAAAACAGAAAAAAGACATTAAAACAAAAAAAAAGACATTAAAACAGAAAAAAAACAATAAAACAGGAAAAAAGACATTAAAACAGAAAAAGACATTTTAACAGAAAAAAGAAATTAAAACAAAAAAAGACATTAAAACAGACAAAAAGACAACAAAAAACCCTATCATGAATAAATTATAGAACATGTCTTTAATTTCTTCTATTTTATTATGGAGACATGTGAATTTAAGAATCCTTTTCATACATAATAATACTACTGTAATGTTATTGGTTTTTCTCTCTGGTTTGGAGGCCAGAACAGATTTGAAAAAAATAATAGATATCGTGAACAGAAGATTTATGAACAAAAATGTGGTTTGTTTCATAATTTCCGCAAAAATATGTCTTTTTGCTTCAAACTTCGGTTTGCATCTGGTGGAACAACAAAAACAAAACACACAAAAAACAAAAACATAAAATAAAACCTCGAAAAACAAAGAAAAAATATATGTGCCGGCACAACTGAGACAAATGATGAAACTGCGGAGATATTCCTAGCTGAAAAGATAGCAAAAAGTTCTTATCAAATTAATTATCTATTTCTCTAATTATAATTACTCCAAAAAGATCATGCGGTAAAGTGAATTTAAAACAAAGGAATGCGTGGAATGTTTGGATGTTATCACTTTGTAAAATATATGATCCTGCCGCGATATCGGAACATTGCGAAATACTTCAATGTAATTTGCATACATACAAGGATGGGTTTATAGCAAGGACGATATGCCATGCAGTTTATCAAAAGCCTATCCCACTTAAAGCTTTGTGTCATCTGATATATTCAGCTGTTGGTGTGAACAACATGGAACTTTAATTTGCTTTAAAGAAAACAAGAAGTATGTAGATGGAAAATGACTCACTTCTTCTCAAGTCGTATTTAATACATTTACATATCATGTTGCAGAATTTCTGTCAACACCTTTATATAGATAAACTGTTAATAACAAAAGAGCTTAATGTTTAATTTGAAAAGGAATGCGATTGTATATATTATATTTTCACAATTAGAAATGGAGTTTTGCCTTTTTACCTATCGGCATTTCAGTTTTTATTTTATTTATTTTCCAAAACTTTTCTACTTGAACATATTTAACTGTCGTTAAAAAAAGCAGAAAAAAATAAAAAGATTTCATTTCAAACCAAAAATGCTTCTAAAATATATAACCGAACATTTTAATCTGAGACCCTTGATGAAGTATGTAAATGAAAATAAGATTCGGAATTTCGGAAGGATAAGCGTCTTCTGCTTCATTGACGAAGCCCACCATTTCGATCAAGATCAAGTGTGGTAATGCGTTAACATGAATAAATGTAGTATGTAATTATATTAAGATAAAATCTTCCTATGCCGAAAATGAGAGAGATGATCCTGTATGGTTTTAGATTAGATCTTCTTATGCCCAATATAAGTTAAATAATCCCCTATGTTTTAAGATAACATCTTACTACGTACAATATAAGTTCGATAATCCTATATAGGTTTATGATAAGATCTTCCTATGCTCAATATAAGTTAGATAACCCGTATGGCTTAAGATAAGATCTTCCTATGCTCAATATAAGTTAGATAACCAGTATGGTTTAAGATAAGATTTTCATATGCTCAACATAAATTAGATAATCCCGTATAGTTTAAGATAAGATTTTCATATGCTCAACATAAATTAGATAATCCCGTATAGTTTAAGATAAGATCTTCCTCTGCTCAATATAAGTTAGATAACCCGTATGCTTTAAGATAAGATCTTCTTCTGCTCAATATAAGTTAGATAACCAGTATGGTTTAAGATAAGATTTTCATATGCTCAACATAAATTAGATAATCCCGTATGGTTTAAGATAAGATCGTACTATGCTCAATATAAGTTAGATAATCCCGTATAGGTTTAAGATAAGAACTTCTCATGCCCAATATAAGTTAGATAACCCGTATGGTTTAAGATAAGATTTTCATATGCCCAACATAAATTAGATAATCCCGTATGGTTTAAGATAAGATCGTACTATGCTCAATATAAGTTAGATAATCCCGTATAGGTTTAAGATAAGATCTTCCCATGCTCAATATAAGTTAGATAACCCGTATGGTTTAGTATTCATTTTAATCTGAAGCTTTTTTTCTTTTAATTTTTTTCAGGTTTAATATAAAATAATACAATATGGTAGAGAAGAAAAATAGAAACCCTATATAAATAAGCAATAACATTCCAGCTGGACAGCATATACATAGCTGATAGCAAGGTTTCACATTAACAATGATATATGAATAGATTAAAAGAGGAAGGAAGGAAGTTAGATGTAAAATTCAACAACATGAAATTCTATGTCTTATAAGTTTATAATTTTGTTCACGTAGTGTCTCGTTCGCAAAGGTTGTAAGATCTAATGTAATATTATAAGGTAATGAATGCAAATACCAGTTAGTTTCATTATTTAACTGCATTAGCATAGTGGAGGTAGTTGATGGAACTGTACTCCACTTGCAGTCGAGGATGATAAATGTATTCTTAATGGTTCCAAAATTGTAATTTTTGAGAATTTTTCAACTTTTTATCTGCTTATAAAACATCTGATATCAGATGAAAGTTTTATTTGAAGTTGGTGAAAGTAAAAATGACTGGCAGTTTTGCTTTAAATAAATGTGTGGTCTCAGTTCCTAGTTTCAAATATGTCTCTTCAAGACAATGTAAGAAGTTCGAAAAAAGTATGCAAACGTTTATTGACAGAATATTTCATGAAATTGAATCACTTTCTAACTTTGTCAATGATCAAAGACGATAGCGGGGTGACCTCGATACTTGCTTTCTTTCACCAGTTTCAAATCGAGTGGCTCCAATTATCTGATATCCGATTTTCCCATGATTCTTTCGGTAGACTTACGTGATTTTCAGTCCAGACATGGCGTGTGTACTTGATTGAACTAATGTCTTTTGGTCAGAGCTAAAATTAGTATAATTACACGAATTTGAGATTCAAATATTAATAGTGTCAGTTACTTGTACACCCTGGGACCTTGTTTGTGACTAAGGCTAGACATTTGATATACAGACACATTCTCTATTCACACACGAATATACGTGAAACTAATATAGGTATTTAACACTGGAATGTCAGTATGCTCTGTTCTTATGCAATAAGGTCTTTTAATGTATACATTCATAACTGAGAACAACTAACCCTAACCCAGGCTGTTCATGATTTAAATCACAATAGCATGAAAACAATAAAGTTAATTTGCTTTATTTTTCAATTCTTATAGAAATTTAATGTATTTTGAATTCAATGTCAATGGAATTTATATGTACATATATTCAGATTTGTGGTTTTTATACTGTTTGATATGATTTTCTTCATGTAAACTAATTTAGACCGACAACACTGGTGTATAGAAACAGTAAGGTAGCTACAGTAACAATGGGTATTAAACCGAAGGTCTCTTGGCAGGGTTATCAACAATATAAATGTGTTTTTATAACTCACATGACAGGAAATCAACACGCCAACGCGCAAGCTGAATTTGGTTAAGTGTTAACACAACGCTCATTGAAATTATCGATTTATGACATTTAATTGTTTACACAGTGTACATTTAAATGCTTGTTTTGTTTACCAAACAGTATTGGTTAAATGCACAGACGACAGCAATTTGTTTACAAAGTAAGATGAAGAAATATTCACAGCATAATATATATATATATATACCAATGGCATTTTTTCGCAAGAGGTGTGAATTATTGACCAAGAACTAAAAAAATAAATATTGTGATACCTTGTGATTTTGTTATTATTTAAATTATTCGTTGTAATGTGATTTCAACAAAACCAAGATTATCAAAACGCGATATCTTTGAAATGCGTGGCAACATCCTGTCTAGTTATACAATGGATACGTTTTAACAAACACGTTCTTGACTAGTAACGCACACATTAATAATAACGTACCTTCACATAATTCTACAGATGGAACTGATGAACATCATGGCTTATATTGGGAAGCAAAATGTTTCACAAATAAAGGGTAGCATCTCTTTGCCTAGCATAACACTACTGTATGTAATGACCATTAACCCGGGAAGTGGCGTTGTGATGTTATATTAATATATTATATAACAAAAAAAATGCTAGATCCCAATTTTTTATTTACCATTTTTTAACTTTCTTTCATGTTTTGTTTTCTTCTGATGTCATTAACACAGTGTATCACGGAGTATATAACGTAATAAGTACTTTGATACAACTAACTGGAACACTTGGGAACTCATATAATTGTGTATTGTCTGAATTATATTCTTGTCCCACTTACATTCAAGTCCGATACTACTACTAAACTTGTCTTACCTTTGTGTTGTGTTTATTTTGTTTTTGTCTTGTCTTTTTCTTTTCTTTGTTGTTTTTTTAATGCTTATGGTATTAGGGCAATGAAACTAACCATGTAACATCGTGATATTAGACATATCTTAAAGTGAGAAAAAATAATTAAATTTGATATTGTTTGTTTAATAATTTTGTAACAAGATGAAAATGCTAGATCATTGGAGCCATTGTTGTAGTGTGGTGGTGATGTGCTCCAGATACGGTATAGACGGAGGCGCCTGCACACATATGCTCAACATGTTGACTTAAATGATTGACCTGGTCGTGGGACATAGGGTGCTTTGTTCCTTTAGATACCAAAAACATCAGTCTTGTCTGAAAAGACAAAAAAAATTATTTCTTAATCTGTACTTGATATTTAATCTTTAGGTGAAAATAAATCGATTGTTATGACAAATGGTCAATATATCTTTAAAGGATAATTCAACACTAATTTTATTTATTGATATACCATAAATAACAGTTACAATATTTGTTAGATTATTTTAAGGATTGATTTTCGATATTGTTACTTGCATGGACTTATGATGGGAAGTGAACCTCGTGCAATCGAAGATCTAAAAACGGCACATACATAGAAATTAATTTCTATTTGTATATCAAAAATCAAATGATCGTACTTTTTCAACTGATTCCAATATTTATACTTATCAATATTTATCTAAATTGTTGATAACAACAGTGATCACCTCAGCTGCTAGAAGGCCTTCCTCCGTGTGCACGTTAATACCATGGTGTGTAGAAAATTTCTCCAGATAGCAGTTGTCTGCCAGTTTCATAACCAGGTAATTCTATCAGTAAAAATGGTTGATCTTAGTTCAGTTATTATTGGTTTTTATTTTGAAATAAATTTAATTTCAGGTAAGTATTAGCTGAAATTTAATTTTATATCACATTATAACAAAAAGAAACGATATTCTTCGAATTGATTTCAAATTTCGCCATTAGAGATTCTTTTTTACACAAGAGCGGCATCATTTTATCATAACTAAATTTAAAACAAAAACCGAAAAACAAAAAACGGAAAAAAAAAAGAAAAAGAAAACATTAGATATCGCCATAGAAAGTTTAGGCTTGTCCATTCGTAACAAGAACTATACACATACACATAATTAGTGAATGAACACGGCCACCACAATGTTGATATTTCCATTAATTTTACTGATAAGTTAAGGAGACAGTGTACAAGGATTTTTACACGTCTGCAATATCCTAACTGGTGCTTTTAATATGCAAATGAATCTTCCAATATGAATATATTATTGTTCGATAAAACTAGTTTTTTATTTACCAGTCCTGCCTGTCTTTACGTTCGGACTGCAGACTGCCCATATCTTAATCTAATGTTCGAGATGAGATGCGTCAGTAAAGTATACATACTATTCAAAAAGACGTTTACCTTGACTACATATAACTATTTGAAACGGTACATACGTCCTTTCGAAAATGTTTCCTTTCTCAAGAAAATAGGGCAAAAATATTTAAACTACTTTGGAAATTTTGACATTGTGTGCTACTTTGTATGTGTTGAATTTGGAGATTTAGGGAATATTTCTAATCTTAGGTACCTTTTTAAGACTACACATTTGAAGCAATTCATGTAAATAATATAATAATAAAACTGTTATAATGTTATATCATGATAATGACGCTATCTTAATCATAAGTATATAACATCTATTTCCATATACATCTTAGGATTTTAGGCAACAAACAATAAAAGTAAACACTACATACGGAAGCGGCATCGTAGTAAAAAAGTGTGGGATCTAATTCGTTGGACTCATGTGCGTGGTGGTGAGGTTTGACAGTAGTAGCCGCGTATATCTGAAAAATGTAAAACAATACATAAGGTTACTCCTTCTTTGAATCTATCATAGTTTATTATAAACAAAAATGATGTAATTACATCATACATTCACTGATTGATAAGAATAATTAAATAAGAATAATGTAAACAGCTGATCTAGATGTCAATATGGATCTAGATGTTGGATGGTTTTCATACTTCACCTGGCCAATTACGCAGACAGCGACAAAAACAACACCCTGCATGTTGGAATTTCTTTAACCACAGACAAGTAGGTCGAAAATGCCGTGAAAATGAAATTCGTGCACTGGACTCAGTGTTCCCCTCTATATACTGATCATCGATAAGGCAAGAGAGGCAATGTAAAGGGAATCTACCAAAAATACAAAACCAAATCGCAAACGCAGATAAGAATTGTTCCAATAAATGTCTCAAATTCAACGTAGACTCATAACAACTTAAACAGAGTTCCTTCTCAAATTCAACGTAGACTCATAACAACTTAAACAGAGTTCCTTCTCAAATTCAACGTAGACTCATAACAACTTAAACAGAGTTCCTTCTCAAATTCAACGTAGACTTATAACAACTTAAACAGAGTTCCTTCTCAAATTCAACGTAGACTCATAACAACTTAAACAGAGTTCCTTCTCAAATTCAACGTAGACTCATAACAACTTAAACAGAGTTCCTTCTCAAATTCAACGTAGACTCATAACAACTTAAACAGAGTTCCTTCTCAAATTCAACGTAGACTTATAACAACTTAAACAGAGTTCCTTCTCAAATTCAACGTAGACTTATAAAATCTAAACAGGTTTCCTTCTCACATTCAACGTAGACTTATAAAATCCAAGACAGAGCTCCTTCGGTTTCCTTACATTTTAGACAGACATTAAGAAATATTTCATAAGGTTTATCATTTATCAAAGTTTGTGCTTCGATTGATCAACCTCAAATTCAAATAAAAACGTATACAGATAAATCCATCATTTAACACACAAGATATAGATCGGTGAAAACCAATTAGTTACAAATGAATGGATACCGACAAATTTTAATACTCCAGCTAACATGTCATATTCATGTACCTACACAAATCACAGAATTTCATTAACAGCTGATGTGGTTGATATTTGATGACCAGTGCAGGATTTCATCTGAGCCACCGAAAATGGCTTATAGCTTAATGCATCTTTTTTACATTGTATTATCTTATGTAGACTTCAATACCACACATAGAAATGTCCCTCAATGAAATAGTACTGACAAGCTTATAATCTTGTTACGTTACGGAGTTAACGTACAGCAAATAAAGCCCAACAGCTAGGTTACAATTCAACTTAACGACAAATACATTCTATACAGTAAAATTACAAATATTGTGATGTTGTACAGAGCTAACTACTAATTAATCAAATGTCAGAACTTATCTTTCGGTGGAAATCATCCAAATGCAGAGGAATTCACAATAGATTGTCCAGAAAACAGGGTAACCGAAGAATAATCCAACAATTGTTTCCTCGCTGGGTATATATAAGTGCAAGTCCACAAGGCGCTATCACTAAATCACTGTAAAAGTCCTTACTTCACAGACTGAAGTCTCAAAGTAAGCCCACTCAAGGCGTTAATACTTCAAAAAGGCTGCTCATGCTCAGTCCCATCAGGTTTATATACACTAAAGGTTTCTAGAAAGGAACTTTCTAGATGATTCTTGACTACCAGGTACCTAGCTTGTTTACCTGTGGCTATAAAAACTTCCGGAAACACCCAGGTAATTCTAATAACCGAGTTTTCTAGAAAACAAACTGCCTAGCACTATCCACACATTTTGTGACAAATAATCATAAACAAGTGGTTTTTTATGTAAACAATCAATATGATACAATGCATGTAAACACAGCACATCTGAATTTGGATGAATAAACAACATTTATACATAACAATCTACTTAACCTAAATCTATATCGTAAGATTCTGGGTAGAAATCGGCATGTGATATGGACATTCTGGTAACCTCCATTGCATTTTGGTTCGTTTGGGATCGGCACAAAACATCTTGGTTTATATTGTTTGAATTCGTTCCTTAACAACTGTTGATAAAATGGAAAACAAAGTATATGCTATGTGTCCGAAACATTGGTCACCATAAACATATGAAAGAATTTGGGATTCTGTCTCCGTCGGCAATGGAGAATCGTGGCTGATAGAAGGTGACAATCTCCTTCAAAAACATAGCAACTGTTTCATGCAATGATATATATGTGTACATCAAAAATTTTTGGACTTTGGACTGAATTGCACAGGAAACCAACAGAACGAATACAGCATTGGTGTAATGTGTTCTCACTTTGTGCATGACTACCCAGATATGATGCAGTATTCTGTTTAAGGTAAACTAATTAGTATATCATATCTACTTAAGAACAATGTATTGTCCCACTCCCAAAGAGAAGGAACAAGTGAACGTACTACATCCAGCTTTGCATAAATCTGTGTTGAGGAATTGTCTGGTAGTTTCATGTTTCGCAAAAGGGGTTTACCGGCTCTATAAGATTTTTTTATGCGAATTAATCCATTTAAAACGAAATAATTGATAACTCATTCGTTTGATCACCGACATTACACTGGAAATCTTAATGGCAAACGACCCGTTCTTTCTTAAATAAGCTTAATCATATAATTGAAGTCTATCGACTTAAATAGCCTCTCATTCAAAACCACCAATGATTGGGGTTTTTATCATTTTTAAAGGATATTCCATTGTGATATTATCTGAGATGAGTTCGATGCTTGTTAATATACCCTGTTGTTATTCACCAGGGTAAAACTTTGAGAAAATTATTATGTCACGGCAGATACTGATGACCTTATCACTTCCCATGTAATTCTTGCTTTCAATGGTATTTTCCCCTCGGTTTATCGAGTCAGGATTCTGCAGACATATTGGTGTTTTCTTGTTAAGGTAAATAAGCCTCATTTTCGGATGGTTGTTTTGTAAATAATTAGAAAAAAACTATCTGCACATGAAGGATATGAATGATACTTGATATGTACAACTATCTAATTACCGACATTGTTTTAAGCTTTCTGTTTATATAGATATCTTCGTAAGAAAACCATACTATTAATTAAAACAAACCTACCTTTACATTCTCCTATATAGATATATATTTTTCATTTATCACGTGTACCGGTTATATTCCAGATTCCCTCCTAACTGGTAATTCCATCCTGATTTACATTCTTTGAGAATTCTGCCTTTTGGACCTGTTGAATAAAGTCATGTATAGACAAATCTTGTTTTAAGTAGATTTCTTATTCAATGAAAACATTAAATGGAACGAAAGAAAATGTTGATTTTTACTGCAGCCAAACGATTAGCTATATTCTTTTCTGAAGTTGTTTTGAAAGTTTTGTTTTGTGATTCCTAAACATCGTATTGTTGTTTTCATTTTCCAAAAACAGCGATAGCACAGTGAACGTCGATATATTGAAATCATTATGTTATGATCATTAACATGATTTATTACTTTGAAAAATCTATTCTTTAAGCTGAAAACTATAAAATATGTTCTATCTATTGTTTTAAACTGCGTGAATAACTGATAGTATCACATTAACAGAATTTATCATCGATTCATCTCTTTCTAATTTGCCATTAAAATACAGTTAAAATATGACAAAATTAAACAGACTTGACCATATATTTGTTTCTAGTGAATTGTTTGGCATGTATTTCACCCGTCTACTGTTTTCTTTATTTACTTATACTGTTTTTACGCTGAGTAATACTCTTTCAACAGTCTTAGCATTTTTAAAAAATTATTTTATTTTTTAAATTGCCGCTTCCTCCCAACCATAGAATAACATCAAACGACACTTCGGAATGATGCGGTATTATTTTATTTAAACAATTGGAGACATTGTTGTAGTATGATGGTGATGAGCAATCGAAACCTTGTATACATCTAGACCTGCGCACATGTGTTCCACGTGCACACTTGACGCTAATACATCACCATGGCTCATCAATGTATGGTTGCCTTTGGCTACGAGAAACATCAAATTATTCTGAAAGAGAAATATAATGTTTTGGTTAGTTGTATAGTTAAATCCCGATACAAATGTATGTGATCGTTTTACGTGTAAATGACAAAAATGTACTTGCCTCGAGTTGCATAAGACCGTCCGTTGTGTGCACCAGGGGCCTTTGGATATTTCTCAGCTTCTCAACATAGCAATGATTTCCGCGTTTCATAACCATTTGATGCTGTGGAGATATTAATGTATATATTTAAACATATTTCAACGTCATTGAGAATAAATGTTATCTTAAGACTTCATTTCAAATGATGGAATTCAGTGGTCATAATTCGAAATATGTCCTCCACTTCGTTCAATAGCTCAGAAAAAAATGTTGTATATACCCAAGTTTATCTTTTATATCAAAGAATGCCGGTGAAAACTACTCCGTGGTATGATTATATTTTAAATTGTCTTATCATCAAACGACCGTTTATACAGCTGTCTATCCGCTAAATAACAACAGGCTTCACAAATTTCTGAAAGTATACTCATAAGCGAAGAGTAGTACATACAATATGATTTCCATTCATGTTGATAACTGATTGAAAAAAAACACCACAATCAAGTGTACTTACCGAAAGGGCGTCATAGTAGAAGAGAGCCTGATCAAACTCGTTTGATTCGTGGACATGAGGACGATGAGAAGGAGGTATAGTAGTCATACTGTAAATCTTGAGGGAAAAGAAAATATCAAGGAGTTTCACACAGAAATTGCTACCGCTCAGAAATTGCTAACGTTCAACACAGAAATTACACTTATACATAACAAATATATATTATTGTAGTGTTAATATTCAAATCGCGTCAGTTTCTTAACTCAATTATGGATACAATAAACATACTTTTTTATCATGGAAGCAAACAGACAAAGTAACTAAAAATCTTACACCTTCCTAATAGAATTGTAGTAAGGATTTCAAGAAATGTCTTCCATCGCAACAAACAACGGTTACGTACCTGCCCAATAACGCAAACGATGACAAACAATGAAAAGTGCATCTTGTTTAGGTACTGTTATACTGAGGTCTTCTCTCGACGAAAATGAACTAACACTATCTACACATTATATACTACTGGACACGGAGGTTCTTAAGGGGCGTCCTACATACTCCAGCATATTTGCAATATCCGGAAAATGTGCAGGTTTTTTACTTTAGTTTTATACATTTTTAAACCCAATATTACATTATGCTTTATACTATGAAGTTGAAAATGTATATATCAAACATTAGTCATTATTTAATAATCCAAGTATCCTTTCTTTTATTTATGGATACAAGAGTTTATAATCAGACGTATAGGTTTCATTGGCGATTCAAACATCCGTCTAAATTCGTTCGATTTTATGAACATATTCACATATCTTTGAATTATGCAATTCACAACATATGTCGATTCCCTTCCCGCTCGGAAACAGAGATCGTGACAAGTTTGTACTCTGTCACGTAGCCAAGCTGTTTGTTCCTACGAGTTCATGGGTCTAAAATTATGCCTATGTTGGGTCATGAGAGAACTATTTAATCTTAACTTCGTCGTTCTAACGGCAGTTTTCCCATTTTGGTTAAAATATGTCGATTTTGTTAGTTTCGTATTAAATGTGATATATATTTAGAAATGAGTGACATTTGATTGGGAACGGATCATAAGAAATGTCACTTATAGTCGCAAAAGGTTTAGTTAACAGCAAGTGTTTAAAACAAACCGAAAGCATAACTGAAGACGTAAGTCCTTTCATTTATAAATGAATGTATATATCAACTCCGTAACAAAATACAAGTGTACCAGTGAATTAGGAATGCTCCCTGTAAACGAAATTACTGAACACAAAATTTTAATTTTAACACAAGACAATGATTTTGCAGTTAAGGGCTTGCAAGTCCTGAATTTGAAATATATTCACATTCTCTTAGTATGACCATTGTATACACCAAGTTTCATGGCCCTAGTTTTAAAGCAAGCAAAGATACACCCATGGTACAAAATTTAACAAAGGGATTATAAAGAAGGGTTTATAGCCCCAAAAATTGCTACAATGTATCTTTCTTAAGCGTGACTGATGTATATATCATTAAGATGTTACTGACTTTAACATTGCTACACTGCATATTGTGTTAGTACTATCGATGTATACATCAAGACTCATTATCCTTACTGAAATGAAAGCAAAGCTATGATCTGGATACAAAATTTTAACAAAGGGTAATAAATTTGTACTTTAAGATTGCGGGGCCTGAATTTGGTACACTGCACATCTTCTAAGTATGATTAATCAATAGATAACTCAGTTTCATTATCTCCTTTTTGATGCAAGCAAACATATACTCTAGAAAACAGTTTTCAACAAACGGCAATATTCTGTAGTTGAGGGATCCAGGGCTCTGAATTTCGTACACTGCTCATTTTCAAAGTATGAATAAATGTCATTATCCCAGTTTAAATGCGAACAAAGTTATGCTCGAGATAAGAGCAATCATTTTGTAATTGGGGGATCTAGAGCTCTGAATGTGGAACACTGTACATTGTCATAGTATGATCAGTGTATTCACCTAGTTTCATTAACCTCATGCAAATACGAGCAACTTAACGTTACGCTCCGGACACAAAAAGACGGACGGACAAACCGGGGACCATGTGCTCCCCGATAATGAAATAAAACAAACAATAAGTAGTTACAGTAGACAAGACATATGTTGTCTATTTTACCAAGACATGATGACATTTTATACAGAACGAGGTTAACATTAATTCTCACAGCCAGTGTATGTTTGCTTCAAAATTATTTTTCTTTCTCGCAATAGAACATGTTGAGTACTGTGTCACCTACATGTCAAAAATGCTTGAAACATCAATACCGATTAACCATTAAACAAGTTATAGAAATATTGCATACTATCAAAATATAATTACCGTTATAGAAAATGATATCAAGTGTGATCCCGCCAGCTTATTGATTACCATTATACAAGAATAATTATCACGTGTTATCCCACCAGCTTATTGATATAATGAATACCATTATACAAGAATAATTATCAGGTGTTATTCCAACAGCTTATTGATATAATGAATACCATTATACAAGAATAATTATCACGTGTTATTCCAACAGCTTACTGATTACCATTATACAAGAATAATTATCAGGTGTTATTCCACCAACTTATTGATATACTGAATACCATTATACAAGAATAATTATCACGTGTTATTCCACCAACTTACTGCTAAACTAATTACCATTATACAAGAATAATTATCACGTGTTATTCCACCAACTTATTGATATACTGAATACCATTATACAAGAATAATTATCACGTGTTATTCCACCAGCTTACTGATTACCATTATACAAGAATAATTATGAGGTGTTACTCTACCAGCTTATTGATATACTGATGGATTACCATTATACAAGAATATTTATCACGTGTTATCCCACCAGCTTATTGATAAACTAATTTGTAAAAAGGTATAAAATCATATTTTATTGATATAATCACAAGTCAGTTCCCAGGAAGAAACGTTGTTTGAAGCCCCGAGTGAATAAAAGTCAAAATTACAAACAGTTGCAAAATGCAGCGTGTGTTGCTTGCCCATCGCATTTTTTTTGTTAGGCACGTTGCTATTTTTTTTACTTTTATTTTAAAAAAGATTTTTAGGGGTAGGGTGTTTTTGTATTGTTTTTTCTGTTTATTAAGGAGACAGGAAAGCTCATGGACATATGCTGTTGATATTCTTTGCTAAATGCATGTCTGTTAATTCTGATATAGGGACAAATTATTTATTAGTCAAATGTGAATAGAACTCAAAAGTGTACTTATCTGAGACAAAGGAGATAGAAAATGTCTCGACAATGACCTTTCTTATCAGAATATCTACATTTTCTAAACGTTATAACTGCTATCCCTTTAAGTGCCTCGGTAGCTTGTCATATATAACGTGTTGATAGTGCCGGATGATCCTTGCTTAGAGAGGATTTTATCTCCAATTCTAGTCCAATTACAAGATGTACTGTGTGTTGGCGATCTCCGTGTGCCTGTTTGGACAGGCATGTTTCTATAAGTTTTTATATGATTCATCATTGCACATGGAATGCTCATCTTGAATCCATGCCTTTCGTCTTTATCTAATTTTTTCACTGATTGTCCATATGTATTGTGAATGCGATAGGCTTTTATTCAGTTTATTTCTAGTTTTAATCCCAAAAACAAACTTAGTCTACATGTTTTAGTTCTGGATTATACTGACTGTTTGTTTGTGTTTCCTTTTGATAGCGATATCGAGCACGAGAAATTCTATAATATGTATTATTTTAGAACTATAAGTAAAGATGCAATCTAGATAAGCCTGTTTTAATAGCCCACTTTCCTTTTTACGGAATGATTTATATTATGTAATTTATATTCTTTAAACTCAGATGTCGCAGTGAAATCTTAATTTATAACCTAAATAAATTGAATTGCAATTTCTGGATGTAAACTGAAATCTATGACACTCGTCTCATCATTTCAAGGATTGAATTCTCGTTAACTATCAATGTATCGCAATATAGTGAAAATATTCATCGAAGAAAATAGCAGGCTATACGCTAGGTTGTTACATCACAGTTGAAACTTTGCTGAAATCATGATATTTGTTTGCCACTTGGTTTCAGCTGATACGTAAATAATTGTTTTTAAAGAGATATATCAACGCAATATCGATTATTTACAGGTCTTGAGTGCGACTACAATGATTCCTTCTACTCATCGTCCTCATCACCACGAACCAAATGAGTTTGATCAAGGTTTATTCTACTATGACGCATTGTCGGTAGGTACCTACCTTCAGCATTATATCAGATAAAATCCTGTATCATATGTCACAGTTACGCAAATTATTATTGGTGTTTCTGCATGTAATGATATGCATCTAGTGTATACCCCGGCCCATCGTCCCCAGCCAAATTAAAGATACATGTCACATAGGAATTGCTGATATATATATGTGTGTGTATATATGTTAAGGGTATTTCCGTCGTGGGAATTTGGTCAATTCCTGTTGCAATGAAATCAAGCGATGTACGTGTTTTCTATAATATTGTACAAAAGACACATTTTTCATAATTTAGAGTAGAATGAATTAAACTGCATCATACAGATGTTTCGTCCTTCTAGGAATCGTCAGTGATGCTAAGGGCCTGAAATTTGAAGCCTAGGGTGCGACTAAGGAAAATCCAAAGTGATCAAAAGAAAAGTTAAAATCCAAAATGATCAAAGGAAAAGTTACAATCAAGGCCAGGACGTGCATTAGGACAAAGGATAGCTTTCACGAAACAGTAGATTCTGATTTATTGACTTCTTAAAGTGTTTTTTTCCTATTTTGATTTCAACCATGAAAAGAGTGATTCATGGAACTTCTCTGAAATAGTTATCTTTACGTCAGCACAACTTCGGACCAAGATTATTATATTATTTCCATCGTTTAATTCCTCTTTATAGCATCAAATGGTGATGAAGCTTGGAAGTAACTGTTACATTGAGAAACTGAAAGCTTCCCAACGGCCACAAGTCCATACAACCGATGGGCTTTTGAAACTGGAGGTGAGTATATTTTGGCAATATCAACAGTAAAACACGCCAGAAATCACTTATCAACTTGTTTTCCTTATTTTATACTACGTCCTTTATTTGGTTCTTTGTAGAGTAACTTGATGTTCCTCGTAGCAAAGGGAACCAAAACACAGATGGGACATGATGAAGTGAATTCTTTAAGCGTGCACCTTGAGCACATGTGTGGTGGTCAGGACGTCTTTGTAGTATCGCACCCTCATCATCACCAAACAACAACAATGGGTATAATTGGTTGAATAAAAGGGAAATCCTTTATGTAAACGTGCTTTTGTTATCATATTGGAAAGGAAATTTTTATATGGTAAGTTTTATAGTAGTTTCTATGTGCGGGACACACTGGTGAAAACAAATATAATGGAAGTTTTTATGTGATAAGTTTTATAGTAGTTTCTATGGGCGTTACACACTGGTGAAAACAAATCTAATGGAAGTTTTTATATGGTAGTTTTATGGAGGGGACACACTGGTGAAAATATTTTTTTAAATTATATAGTGACTGTAACACCATATGTTTGACATATGAACCGAAGAAGGAAGCTTATCGGACCAAGTTCATAAGAATAAAAGATTAAATGAAGTGAATAGAAATGACAAATTCTGATTGATCGACCTCAAAAGAATACAATTTCCTATTTAATATATTTTATTATTCCATCAACAAATCATGTCTGAACTACATAACTTACACAATTTATTTCAAAACTCTTATACTAAATAAGTAACTCTAACAATTGCATTAAAACACAATAGTAACTAGATGGCAATAACATACAGTAATAAGCGTACCTGGAACTCTGGTAGAGACTGATATCTCATCTATATGTCCACTAGGATGGCGACCGGACAAAAACAGCAACCGGTTAGAACCGTTCCAGGAGGAACCAGGCAAATAAAATCCGTTTGCATAGCACACCGTGCTCCAAGCATTTACCTAATTACCAATGTGACGATCCATGGCCGACACATAAATTACTTGAGTCTATCATCTATTTCTTGCCAGAGTTACCTCCTCTTATTATATTACCACCCAGTTATGTCCCTTGGGAAAACCTAGCAGACACATCCCTGATATCTGTACAACGTGAATATTAAGGAAGAGTGTTTGTTTATTTTTTAAAAAAAACTGGCATGTTCCTTTATTGCCAGATTTTCGCCATGTAAATTTAAATCATGAAACAACGACTAAAAACTCGCATAATGTACACAGAACACTCAATATATAGATATCAATAGATTTCTTCTATTTACAGTCATTGTCCAATAAATTGGATTTAATTCAATCTCTGGTAATGTCTCGTGTCCCTTGCTATAGTAATCTAAATATTATAGCTACAGTTCCATTGAGAAAAGAATTACTGAACATTTCAGCAATAATTCTAATGCAGTCACACACAAACACATATATAGTATCTCTGCTAGGTATTCCGTAAAACCATGATGTATTTGGTATAAACTGAAGCAAAAGAAATCTAGAAGCAGCATGTACTCGCTAAACTTAAAAACTTACTGCACATGCCAGAAATTCACAAGTAATTGCATTCTGGGAAACTCTCTGGAGAGTTCTACACGAAGAGAGATAATTCTAACGTTCGATTTTATTTTAGATTTATCAAGAAAGACAACTCTTGTGACCTTATGATATCAAACTTTTGATTACTGCATACAGATGTAATCGGTATTTTAATCAAATATGAATATGTTAAGTGAATAGATGTCATTACCAGGACGTTATTGTAAATTAGAGAGCAGCTGTTTTCATGGTTCGAGCAAATTTTGAGGTTTAACAATAACTCACAACGTGACCTATTTGGTCTTGGCTGGATTTATTTATCTTTTGTCAAGATTTATATCATTAAGATAATGGTGTCTCCTCACTTCACGCAAGATATCTTTCATTCCTATGTAAGTCCCCAATCAGAGATTTGGGTCATATAGAAGGATTTATGTGGTAAAAGATATTTTTAACAGAAACAGTATTGATATGGATATTTCAAAGGGGAGTTAATTGACTCTGCAAAACAAGGAAAATAGAAAATACCAATATGTTAACATTATCTTTATTTAAATTCAAAATAAATGAAAGTAGGGCAAAATTTGAACAAATGAAAAGATTTACGCGGTTATACTATTGCAACAGTTTAAGGAGAAGAATACCAGATATTCTGGAAGGGTTGGCGTTTTCTACTTCATCGATGACATCCTCCTTGTAAAGTGTGATAAATAGGACATTATCAAATTTTATTTATGTACGTGTTGATTAGAATGGAGTTTGACAGTAAGCGTTAAAAAAGTTTAAATATATGAATTAGAAAACATTTGGTCGCTTAATGAAATACAGGATTCACTTATCAATTATTTCTTTTTTAGTTCATACCATTTTCCCATAAAAATCAATAACAGAATGATTTGTTCTTTGTAAAACCATCATGATAAAAGTGAAATTTTACTTTAACGTATCATCGATTCTATTTGATTTAGTAAATCAAAGTTTTGATAAATCCTGTTGTGTTAATTTCTCCATGCTGTAGAGGAAAGATGCTTGAAAGATTCTCTTGTTCCTGAGATAAATTGCAAAATAAAACCTCTGCACATCATGTGTTTCTTGCCAACTGTAAACATCTAGATTGACACTGGATGGAGCTTCTCCCAGAAATGTTACTTTGGTTTCTAATATCGGATACCAACACATGTCTTCTTTGTAATAACGGTAATATCCTGCTAGGGACGCTTCTGTTGCACAGTCTGTACAGAATCTGTAAAATACTGCAAAATTTACGTGAAAATTGGTATCCATATCACTAGGTCGAGAACGAGTCAGCGTTCTAAAGGCATCAGGGGGAGGGATTAAGTCTTCTTGTCTGGTAGACATTATTGTAAGGTCAGTTTTTGGGAATTTCGAAAATGTTTCATTAACCCATTCAGGGAGTTTCAATGGACGACGTGATTCTGAATCAACACTAACAACTTTTGATTCCAGGCGCACAAGTTGCTCCATTGAAAGCGGGTCTATTAAAGTTTGTATAATAGAGAATGAGGTTTTCCCAAGAGACACAAAAGTCACTCGATGCAGAAGAGAAACGTTGTCCCTAGGAGTCTTCTGTTGTAGTTTTGGAGAATAAAAGATGTCCTCCTGCACAGTATACGCTCTCATATGTCCGAATTTGGCAGTGAAAAATCCTTTTTCTTCTGCCTCATAAAAACTTTCTGCTAAAACACGAATGATACCTACAATTGTAAGATGTCCTGAAAATAAGACAAGACAGATTTATTTGAAAGAAATCTACTAGTGAACGATATACATTCTACTTTATTCATGTGCAAGATAAAAGAGAACAAGTGGAATTCGTGTTACAAATCAAACAATATCCTTATCACATTAGAGATGCATATCGGAAATTTTCACGTTTTTATTAAACATAAAAGCAAACAATAAAATCTAAGCTCTCACAATTTGTTCGGTTCATATTGCTGAAGCAGTATTTTAAATTGTGTTTACAAAACAACTCACTAGAAAAAAACTAAAATTTCAGAAAGCATGTAATGCTATAATATACATATCTATATTTACATATACTCTATATTGATATTAAGATAGATGAGCCTCTTTTTGGCTTCATGGTTTCCTAGTTTATTGGCATCAGATGTAATCTGAAATAAGTAATCAACTCATAACACAGAAAAAGATAAAATGTGATGAAAGATAGTTTTACGGTCGCCATATTGATCTCATTGAGAAATAAACTATTTCTTTGTGTAATATGAAGATGGATGTGTTTGATGCTCGTAAGTTTGCTTGATGGTTCCGTTTTTGTTTACCTTGGGAACGTGACATAACATACTTGGATTAACCAAGGTTTACATGGTGGGTGTCGTCGATGAAGCAGAAGACAATTACTCTTCCGGAACACCTTGTTTTATTTTCATTGTAATTCTTTTCAGGATTCTTTCTTTTGTTCATATTCTGTCCTAGTTTAATTGAATTTGGGTCTGGATCATGTTGACATGTTGGTATTTCCTTGTTTTTGTTTGTTCGTTATTTTTATTTTTATTTATTTATTTATTTATTCATTTGTAATTAGTAATGGTCTACTTATGCTGTATACTATTTTCCTGTTGTTTACAGGTTTACGACAATTGTTATTGAAGGATTACTTATATATTCATAGGTTATTTTGCATTATCGATTATCTGTTTGAATCAATTACCTGTTCGATCATAATAAGACGCTGTTAAACGTGGCACCATGAGGTCCACCTGTTGTCCTGTGGCAAACTTCGACTGCATGTTTCTATTTACTCTGCAAAAAGGAAAAAAAATAAGCATCAATTATATAGTAAGTTGATATTAGACAACAGAAGAACAATGCCGTCATTAGAAAAACGTATTTGTTTTTGTCTGATAAAGAACATACATCTACTCCAAATAAAAAACAACTGAAATGAATACACAATCCGTACCGTTTGTAATTATATTAATATCATTTCATCAAAAAAAAGTTATATGTGATAGAGAATAATGTTTTATCATTATATACTGAATCTTCACATTATCAAGCTTCAATATAAGTATTTCAGTATTACAGCAAATGTGTCTGAGTGATCAACTCTGATTTATGTTACAATAGACATGTACGATTTGAAAATATATAGAGTTGGTTACAAGCTTTATTTTCGCCTATTTTTTCAACAAGTCCACATCTTTGCATTCGATTAACGTGATTCCTAATCATTTGTACTGATACGTAAACACGCCCTATTACAACTGTTTAACATCTATTAAATAGTTGAGGCAACAAATTCGCGCCAAGGCAAGCAAGGGAAGACTTCTAGATACTATTTGTACACATGCAGTTAAGATAAAAAGTCATTTCATAAGAGATAAAAAGAAGGCTGTCTATTCATGTTGATACATATAAGACTTTCGTCAACAGATGAGAAAAAAGGTTATCTTCAATATCTCCAGCTACGGTGTATAATGAGGGATGTGTACCTTATACACATGTGTAAGGTATTGATCACGCCATGGTGTATGTGTACACGTAACCGCGGTGTATGTATACAATAAAGACAGGTAAATGATCACAGGTAAAGTAGACAAACTTGGAAAAATTATGAAAATATCCAGGTCAAGTACATTGACATTACTTTCTAATTACTGACTCCAACAATACTTACCATCAACGTACGCTACACCTACTTGTCAATCAGAGTGACACAATACAAGGATCAAGGTCATTCACCTCATTCAACCACGTCATACCCTTTTCTGTGTGAAGTTTGCGATAACAGTTGACTGTCGTTATCAAGACCATGATGCTTCACGAGTGTGGTCGTGTGGCGGAATTAAATATAGGCGTGAGATGTCAGTGTATTGAATTCACCTTGCCTTAATCCCTACCTAAGAGAAACTATTGTTCAGTACAATGACTATACGAGACAAACTAGTAAAAAGCAGCTTTTAATAGATACAGCCAAACAATGAATTGAACTGCATCACACATCTGTTTCGTCCTTCTAAGACTGTCAGTGATGCTAAACCATACAGCTGTTTCGTCCTGCTGGGATCTGTCAATGATGCTACATCATACAATTGTTACTACTAATCAAGTGATTCAAAACGTGGCATACAGGTAACAGCAAAGCTAGGGGAGTAAAAGTCCGCCAACAGTGTCTACCTTCTGTAATTAAAGATGAAATAAGTCATAACATGTTTTTGAGACCTTGAAGGCGACTCAGTAAAATTACAATTGATCAAATTAGCGTCAAAACCTAGATGAGACAGTGATCTTAAACCTAAAAGAATGCCAGTAACAATATTATTAGCAAGCACGTCACGAGTCGCCACCTTTGTCTGTAACACTTCTCTTCGTTCATACGTTATTTTTTCTTATTCGTTACTGTCTTTTATATCATCCTAATTATGTAAAGAAGACAGTCCCCAAATTCTGATTGAATGTTTAATGATATCTTTCTGATTAAAAATGATATTGTGCAAAATGAAATATTTATTTTCACTTACAAGAGCCCTTGTATTTATCGTTGCGACCGTTGAACATTATACCCTGTAAAGTCTACAATTCTTTATAAGTTCTTACACAGGTGACATTCACGAAAAGATCTAAAACTGAGTGTCGTATAAACACCTTGAATAAAATAACGATGTAGAATAACGATAATGTTTTTAGCATTATTTTGACAATATATTATATGCGATATCACAATTTTAACATTACTTCCCCAGATGTTTTCTGACTCATACAGAAAGAAATATTCTATAAGATTTTCGATAAATTGCAAAACAAATTCTCTGGACATTGACTGTACCTAGCCAAACATATATGTCCAGGTCCGTAAATGGTGGTGATTCGCTAGTAAATGAAACAACAGGAAAGTGGCACATGTCACCGTCGTCATAGTAACGCTATTATCCTGATTGCGACGCTTCTGAAGCACAGTCTGAACCAAATCTGTAATACTGTGTAAAACCAGCGTATCACTAAATATCGTGCGGATCACCGTTTTCAAGGCATGCATTGGTAGGAAAATGTATTCTTTAACATTTGTTATGAAAACAGGTTCATCACTTGTTTAATGATTTGATCATTTTTTCAAAATTTATGGGAAGTTTTGAAAGGTTTATTTGTTTCCGGATCAATGTTTACCATCTTTTTTTTCAATATGAAGCAGGCGCATGAAGATCATGGACAAGGTTATGGGACGTAGTTCTAATGGAAGGGACACGTGCAGCATGATATCTCGAATATGGTATAAACAGATTTGATGAAGTTTTGGGGAACATACCATCCTTCTCGAACAATGAATACCTGTTTGAGAAACCCACGCCGTCTCGTATCTGCTAAACCATCTGCAACATACTGTATGGTTGCATAAATTGGAAGATAACCTGAAGCAGATTGTTTCAAGCGTATTGCCAAAAAATAAACCAAATGACAAACAGCCCCTACTTTTCTCAGGCATTACATGAAGATCTTTAACATCATTAAGGAATTTTCGTCATTTATTGAAACAATTTCACCCCATTTATAGTTTCAGGATATTAAAACGCTATTGGGAAAAGATCTTTTTTGTACTTACATAATCCTGTTCGATAAATATTATTTCATGAAAATATGCGCTGAAATATAATGTTTGATCTACAAGAAAATACACTAAAATGCTCGGTGTGTAACGTGTCAACTTAAATTTCAAAGCAGACAATAAATCTATGTCAATTATCTAGTTGCATTTTATTATGACGTATCAAACTAGTCGTTCCTTTATGGTGCAATCATTGCTTGTATATTTTGTGCAGTCTAAACGTATCAGTAGAGTGTATTATATTTGGATATATGTAGGTGCAGTCAAAAATCTAATTAACATCGTTGTTGCATCTTATATATATTTATACTTAGATATATATCTATATATATTATTTTAAATCTTTGAATTGTACGAAGTAATGTGTAGCTATGGTATTTCTATGTCAGTTATATTTATAACTGCCGCCTAGTATTTGTCAGCGAGCAGAGGTCAACCCAAGTGTACTTCAGGGCGTTTAACTCCCCCATCTGGCTTACAAATCAACAATATAAATCTCAAAATGTAAGTCCTTTAAATCATAGCTAAATATCCCCTAGTGTCTGAGATGCTTACAATGACGTCCCTCCTTTTCATGCAATGTAATGGTATTAGTTATTGTATACACCTGATGATAAAAGTTTATGCTGTTACACCTACCTTGCACGTATGGAAAATGAAAAAAATAAGTATGTAATACAATGTTGAAAAATGGACAATGTAAAATAAGAATGTAATACAATGTAAGAAAATGGACAATTTAAAATAAGTATGTAATACAATGTTGGAAAAAGGGCAATGTAAAATAAGTATGTAATACAATGTTGGAAAATAGACAATGTAAAATAAGTATGTAATACAATGTTGGAAAAATGGACAATGTAAAACAAGTATGTAATACAATGTTATTAAACTTTTTTTAATTGTTTTTTTTATTAATGAAAAGACTGGTATTTGTGCATATACGGTGTAACCCATAACACATTATCAGTTAGGAATGTTGATTGTCTGAAAAGCCAGACGTATGCTTTAGCATGAAGCAGTTGCAACAGAAGCAAAGTGACTTCATCTTGGCAAGTGCTGTTTACTAAAGCAGTTGCTATGACGGCTGATATTGGTCATCGTAAATAAAGGAAAAAATCCTTTCAGTCAGGTTTTATTACTCTCACATCTGTTTGTAATCAGAAAATGATCTTGGTTATGTTTGAACAAACGATTTAACCGTATTAGATTCGAATATTAATTGCTGTTTTTTTAAATATAATGAAATATTTAGTGATTATATCATTTTTTATGATTTAATAGGTAAGGATGTGTCCAATATCATGTTGACAAAATCAAATAAATTATCTTCATTGATTGTTAACTTATAACTCCTACCTAACAACAAATTTTTTTTATCCAGATTACATTGTATTTGCGGATTGAGGTTTTTGAGACGTCCCCTCAATAGTCCAAATCGATATGAGTATCTATATTTCTCCCCACCGTACACAAGTGACTATGACAATGTTAATACTCCTTTGTTTTCTTCATTACCATAGCTGTATTGGTGATTATGTAAGTGTTCTCCCTCTACGTTTGATGCTAGCAATATTGTCTCTGTAGACTCGCTGATATTCTTAATGCATTATCATTTGATATTTCTATTTAACAGCCAATTCGGGTTTATTATAAGGTACACTGATCATTTTTGACGGCTGACCGATAACATTACACATTAGTACATACCAAAATGCAGGACAGAAAAACGAAAACAAAATTATGCGAACAGTGCTGATGTTGCGAACGGAATGCCAGAAATACATGCATTTTCAATTTAATAGCACTTTTCAATGCAAAGTTGGATAAAGTCATCAGCCGCATTCACTATTCTGAGACAAAGTCTACTCAACTCCTTTCTGTTTTTCTTACTGAGTTAATGCCTCTCAATTATGATATATTTCATTCGTACAATCTACAAAATATTGTCTCAAGATTGAGTCTGCTTGTCAACCTATGAACCAGGCACATCATTGTGAGAGTTTATTTCTGCCACCATTTGAAGGGATATTGGGGCTTAATCTTAACACAATTATAAGGTAAATTTTCACTAATATATGAAAACTGGTGTTTTTTTGTTTTCTTTTTATTTATCTATATTACACGATCTTCTACATTTTATATGTTCCAGTTATTTTATATAATTCGATAATTCACTGACTATCTTATTCATGTGTTTGTATAATTGTTTGTTATTGTCGTCAAGATTGTATATAAGGTTTTTGTATTGAAAGGCGTTATTCAATCGTGTGTCTTTTGAATAATCTTCGACGTTTTAAGTAGTAGACAGTGCTGGTGGACGATAAATATCAAATTAAACACAGACCAATTATAAAATTTCCCCGGCCGTGTAATTTGACAAAAACAAACCCAATTCAGCCCTAAACCACATAACATTTAAATGCTTTTGCGTCGAATATGATTTTCATCACAGACGTATATTAGTCACACTTTCACGAGTAATTATATCAAGTTTCTTCATACAATTATTGAAAACGAGAAATGGAAACACATAGAATTTTATATATGTTTCAAAAATTCATACACACAACGATAGAAATTACCGATTTGTTCCCAGGAACACCACTAAAATAAACAGGAAATATTAAATGTGTTTTGAATTTTTTTTCTTTTTTCAAACAATTTACCATTTGGTAGATAACGTTTGCATATTTGGTAGATAACGTTTGCATATTTGCAATAAATCGTTAACTTGGTAATCTTTTTCTTGCTGAAAGCTAACACTTAAAGCATTTCTTCAGTGTCTGGGAATTTTCGCACGTAGTCGGCACATGTTCCTGAAATGCTGTTCAGAAAAATGGTATCGTTTTCTTGTGAAATCTTCGACAATAGTGCAACTGTAGGGTGTTTATTATATCTCCTTATATACGGAAAAGATTAATCCAATTCGCCCTTATCTTACAATTTTGTGGCAATCGCTTTATTTGAAAAATTATGTCAGATTTCAGATAAATGTCAAATTATATAGTCTGCATATTGACTTCATTTTGCGACGTGCAATGGTACAGATTGGACCAAGGTTGAGCTTCTTCACTATATCTGTCTATAGAACTGGAAATCGTTGTTATAGTGACGATAGTACCCGGATTGTGACAATTCTGAAGAACAATCCGCGTAGAATTTGTAATGTACTGCATGATCCGTGTTTTGAAGGCGTTGTGTAGTGAGACGATGTCCTTAAGGACATCTGCTATCAGTGCTGTCACACCACTTTGAACATCTGAATCATTGTTAAGGTAATATTTTTTGGAGTTTAGATGACTGTCTTGTCTCATGATCAACGTTTACCAGTTTCGATTTGACACGAGAGTGGCCCCAGTGTGGGTGAATCATAAGAATCCTAACAAATGGAAATAAATGTTGTTCCAACATGGGTTATCGGCACTTCAAACGAAAAGGTAGAGTACTTTGAACATCCATCTGTGTTGAGTTTGGGAAATCGTTCAGTCTTTGTACGGATTCCATGATCACTTGAAAGCCGTCCTACATTAATCTCAAGATCCCTTGATTAGAGAGTTGCCCTAAAACATACCTATATCACTTTTTATAATCATTTTTAGTTTTCTACATCAATACTTTGAATATATTTGGATCATTTTTAGTTTCTTAGTTCAGCAGTAAATTTAAAAGAAAATGTCACATCCATGTTTTACAAAGGTTAAATTGTATATGATTGTTTGTAATATTGTGTACAGGTAATTGTTTAATCCAACCATTATTTATACCCACCCATGTCATGCGACACAGATATGGTTCGATATCAAAATAAATATCGATCTTAACCGGCTGCCATCTTCAAACTGATATGATTTGAAATTATTCGCACCACAGAATTTGTTTATCATTAAATTAATGGTATTTGTTTGCCGAAAACAGGATTTGGCACAAATGGTACAAATTATCAATATGATGTTGTTTGTTTGTTGTGTTTATCGCCCAGTGAGCCGCCAAGGTCATATTAAGATTCCTTTTCTGTACAGAATTGGTCTTGTTGTTGTATTAAATTTGACCTCAATTTTTTCATTAACTTTGTTTAAACAATGGTTCTTCTGTATATTTTAGATAAAGACAAAAATTATATTTGGCAGGTTTAAGCTATCACAAAAGCACAAAAGTAATTATTTTGTTCATCATAAACATTGCATATTGCAGATGCTGACAACTGAAACTACTTGCAATATATATGCAATACATTGCATTGCGAGTTAGGGATACCGATGTTCTAAAATATTATTGTCATTTGATTTCTAGAATTTGGAAAGTTCTAATGTATCTACAGACAGTTTTAAAGACTGACTTTTGTAATGATCATCATATTGTAGGTTAAATAAAAGCATCGTTACTTTGAGATATTTATCTGAGCGTATTTTCCATTGATACCAGTAGATCGTTTAACACACAGTAAATAATACGCGATTCTGAATATCATATTAGGTATTTAAATTACCATTTTCAGTGGTACACTGGGAATCACTTAATTTTTTTTTCGTAAACGGAACTGGGATCTCTGGTCTGGTTCCCAGTTCCCTCTAAGGTTAGGGTCTGATTCCTGGTTCCGTTTTTCTTACTAGGTTCTGGGAACCAACTTCAGCTCCCTAGATCAAATACCAATGCGAATTCCATTGTCATTCTCTGTAATATGTCTGTATCACTGTAATCACTCACAATTGTATTATAATATATTGTTAATGCTGATTAGCCGAAAGGCTAAAGGCGAATAAAACTGTAAACTGAAGGTAACCTCTGGAGCATTGAGGATGCCCTGGTTATGTAATTTGTAATTATAAAGCGACCAACTGAATCCAAATCGATCAATTGAAGGAAGTTTTTCATGTATGGTTTAAAAACACGAAAAGACCATGTGTTTTGGTATGGTAAGAGTTTTCTGTTTCATCGGAGATTGGCATGTGAACTTATCAAAGGAACACTGGCCTGCCTTTGATAATTTCCTTTATCTGTATTGTATAAAAGAAGAGATAAGAACGTCACAGATAGCTCACATGACTTCATACTCAAGCCATGATAGCCTTTCTTTTGTTTGTGTCCATTGGCTGTATACATGCAGGTAAGTAGTATTTAACACTATCAATGAAATGGGAAGTACCAACACCATCCAGTATGCACTCATTGATTATAGGAAATATAGAGCTGATACAGTAATGCAATTTTGATCGCCATCGCCATCATACAACTTCAAGTTGCTGTCGTTTTTAAATTTTTTGCGGTTTTTTTTTTTTTTTTTTTTTGGGGGGGGGGGGGGGGGGGGGGGGGGGGGGGGGGGGAGGGGGGGATGGTGGGAGGTTGGTGGTCTCGTTGGTTTCTAATGATATCGTTTTTGTACAGAAACAGTGATAACGGTACATATCCGTGTTCATTGATTGCGATATCTAAACGTTACATATCCTGTATATGCAGTTTTGTTTTAGTACCAAAAATTATCCCTTTCAAAAATCAAGACACTGATATGCTATCAATCAAATGCTGTTGTTCTATAATTTATTGAAAGGGAGTTTACAGAACGCCAACTCTTAGTTAAGATTGAAACCAATCGAATGTCAATATATATTATTTTCCTCACAGCACCAAGCGACTGTAAACGTGGATGGGAAAGTCTCGGTGATTCGTGCTATTGGTTTTCCCACACGACGTTGTCGTGGGCTGAAGCTTCTGTAAGTATCTGTAGTCTAAACAATAAGGGGAGATAACCGGCATATCAATTTGATCGGAACTCGAACTCAAATCAAATGAAACAAGGGTAAAATACCAACACAAGATTTACATAGAGAACAAGTACTTAGTTATTAACTGTAAAATCATATTTTTCGTGGTTTTCCAACAAAAATAGTGGACATTTATTTTTATGAATGAATATAGTTCAACGAATCACCTTATAAGTATTTTAACATTTGAATTCGTGAGTTAATGGGACACCCGGATTTTACAGTAAATTAAGACGAAACCATGTTATTTCTAAAGTGTCCCAGAAATATCAAATGTTTTGATATCAACAAGATACATTCGTTAATCAACAACGAAATCCATACAAACATTTCCCGTCATTTTGTCCATTCAACACAAAAAACGAAAAGAATGTGAATTAAGTTATGTATGACATAACCTTTTACTGATAAAGAGATAGATATGTATATAATCATTATCCACTGGAGACTAAGCTCTACAGTCAAAATTCAGGCTTACATTTAACCACAAGTTCCATGTGTATTCATTATTATATTCCATGTAACTTAACTTTTATTGGTTCTTCCCTTTGATAATTATTGCACAGGTCTCTCAGCCAATCAAAAGAGGCGTTATAAATAACATCATTCTTTTTATCATGATGAAGAAACTACATCACCCCTTAGAAATGCTTGTTTCGTATACCAATCTGACATTACATTAAGTTCATTTGCATTTCATTAATTAAAGATGACTGTCTATTATATATATATATATAAATATATATATATATATACAATGTATTTTTGTCATATGGCAGGCATCCTGCGAGGCACACCACAGTCATCTCGCCATCGTTCTTAACGCCGAGGAGCAAACCTTTCTCAAATCATTCTTAAACGGAAAACACAAACTAGGTAAATTGCCTACATTTTTATATAAAACTTATCAAAAAATAACCTGTTTACATTGATGTAAAGTATATTTTCTTGTCTCCATACCATTCTTTAAGATACTAGAAATGAAACATAACTTTGGTGTACTAGAAAACTTCACGAATAGCCCCTCCATTTCTGCCATACAGGGTTAAGGTCAGGACATTTATAATGTCGTGAAAAGGGTGATGAAGGTAAACACTGAGATATTTTACGCTAAATTTGTTTCCCTCATCATCATCATCATCATCATCATCATCATCATTTCTATATGATGTTAGATACATTTTTAATAGTTACAAACGAGTTCTTTTTCCTAGAAATGTTATGCTTCATTCCAACAATGAATAGAGTTCACTCTTTAAATTCAGTTTCAAATATTCTTTGAAAACACTTATAAAAATAAGCTATTGCTTTTCTTAATTACAATAGATTATGGTTTACACAACTACTGGATCGATGGAACTGATATGGAGATCGAACATGAATGGGAGTGGGCGGTCAGCGGTCAACCCATAAATTACACCGACTGGATGCTTGGTGAACCGACAGGCAGGCCAAACGAGGATTGTTTAATTCTCATGGGAATATCACACTTCCGTATGAGTGATCATTACTGTCAATTACCGGCAAACTTTGTTTGTCAACACAGGTAATTATTGATCTGTTAAATTGTGAAACTGCGATTTCAAAGTCCAGGGTGATTTATCATATCATTTAAAAACAGTTCAACTTGTCAACTTAAAGAATAAAAACATACATTACTGAAGTTGAAAATTAAAATAGGTTAACTTATTTAATTAAAGATGAACAAACTTCAAATGTTTCAATAAAATGCTACATTATTATGCAAATAAGAAATTGTGGTATTAGTTGTAGAAGCATTCAATAAAGTATGTTCCATTTATAATGTTAAAATTATAACAATAAAATACAATTTCGGAATGTAAATATGCATTTTTACAGCAGATGTAATGATGTTAGACATCCAGGTAAATTCTGTACCACTAACATATATATGCGTTCGAAACCTCATACAATATAAGTGTGTACTTCCTATTACTTTGTGCGACAACGTGTTTACTTTTAAATAGTTATAGCAAACGACTATTCACTTTTAATTACGTTCATTTCAATATATTCTGTTGTTAGTCTTTCAATCCACCACCTCCCTTCCTACCACAACAATATATCGAATATTATGAATGTATACACTATTAAATTAAAACATGAGAAGATCGAGAACAGATATTTTGGGATCATCTTTAATAAGATGAAATTATCATTTGATATTGTAACGTGTCTGGAACCGGCTCAACTATGGTAGCGATTGACCGGTCGGTGTCCCAGCATGCCACAGCGTTTACCACACAGTAAAAGTGGTTAGTAGGTTCGGATGGCAGGCCAGCCTAAGGAAAACCAGGAGTCGTTGATTCCAGTGGATGCTTCTTTCAGTATAACAAAATCCACAGCCGGCAATAACAGGTCAAGCTATAGAAAGGTTTGGAGTGTGTAAAGGCCTAATGGTTCTACTGAGTATTCGGTATTCCCTGTCCCTGACACCCTGGCTATGGCATGTGGTTGGTAGGAATACGCTGGTACCAATGTAACAGTAGGGCTGGCAAAGCATACAGAAGCGCGGACCGTCACAATATATAAAGCACAGCTGACTGCTACCGTATAACTAGTTATTTTCATGAGTAGGAAATTTGACGATCTAAATTTGAAAGAACGTCTCTCATTATATCACATATTAAATTTTCGCGATCACGTTAATGTTCTAAGAAACAGCGAAAATAATATGCCCGCAATAATAACAGGCTCTACCGTATCTAGATGACTTTCGGAGGTTGCTTTAATGATATAAAGGTAGAGTTTACATATCAATCTTTCATTTCATATTTTGTCAAAATCTTTAAACAGGTCACGAAAAAACAATCCACATGAATATCGTCGATATTGTAACAAAGAGTTTGATCAGAAGGCAATTTATAATCAGAAAACAATCCGATTGGTAATTATAAAATATCATTTTTCTCAATGGGGAACCTGACATGGCTTCTTTGAATGGACAAATATTTACATAACGGCGATAAAACACAAGACATCTACGTCTTGCGTCAGGAGTCTCTGTGTGAATTTTCTGTTTTGTTCTTACACCTTGTCTGTACACTGATCTGTACACCTTGTCTGTACAATGATCTGAACACCTTGTCTGTATACTGATCTGTACACCATGTTTGTATACTGATCCGTACACCTTGTCTTTATACTGATCTCTACACCTTGTCTGTATACTGATCTGTACACATTGTCTGTGTACTGATATGTACACCTTGTCGGTACACTGATCTTTACACCATGCCTGTGTACTGATATGTACACCATGTCTGTATACTCATCTGTACACCTTATCGGTATACTGATCTGTACACCTTGTCTGTACATTCATCTGTACACCTTGTCTGTATACTGATATGTACACCTTGTCTGTACACTTATTTGTACACCTTGTCTGTACAATGATCTGTACACCATGTCTGTATACTGATCTGTACACCTTGTCTCTGTACTGATCTGTACACATTGTCTGTATACTGATCTGTACACATTGTAGGTACGCTGATCTGTACACCATGTCTGTGTACTGATATGTACACCTTGTCTGTATACTCATCTGTACACCTTGTCTGTACATTGATCTGTACACCTTGTCTGTATACTGATATGTACACCTTGTCTGTACACTGATCTGTACACCTTGTCTGTATATTGATCTGTACACCTTGTTGGTACACTGTTCTGTACAACTTGTCTCTGTACTGACCTGTACACCTTGTTTGTATTCTGATCTGTACACCCTGTCTATATACTTATCTGTACACCTTGTCTCTGTACTGATTTGTACATTTTGACAAAGATCTATAGAAGTCATAACGTAATAACGTATATATGATAATGATTCACATTCAAATAAGCAGGTTACTTGAAGTAGATTTCAAAAACATAGTAATATTCTCTTTTACAGGTACCAGACGACCAATAGCACAAATGGCGGATGGCCTGTAGTGGGATGATGACGTCACTACTACTATGTCATACAGTATAATGTTACTGTATCTGCCTATGTAAAGAATATATAAAGAATGTTTATATAATGTTAATGATTAATGGTCAGTACAATAATTACACGTTTTAAAAATAAAAAGTAGTCTAGTGTCGTCAAGAAAAAAAAATGGTTTTGTTTAAATGTCAATCGAATTAATGTATAACTAATCTTGAATCATAAGTAATAGGATATTTATGTGTATGACCTGTGGGTTTTTTCTTTCCCTTGACAGGTATATTCACGCTTTGAGTAGGGCAATATTTCCTATTTGTAAAAGAATTATTCACAGATGAACGAAAATAGTAAATTGATCATCATAGGATTATATGATGGGTATTCGGGATGGTTGTTTATGTTTTCATTTCCTATAGTTGCGTCCCACTGATCAATATAATACACTTTTCCTTGTAAATCTTTAAATTCCTCGTACAATATCTGTTTATAAAGCATTCCAAGGTAATCTATCGGTCCCAAAAACATGAAATATGTGAAAGCATGGGGACCTTTGATGAGAACACTTGAATTAGGGGAACGTTTCAAAAGCCGAATTATAGCCTGTTTAGCACTCCGGAGAAGTTCCCTGTAATTTTGCGGGTTTGTTCTTGCCACGTGACTAAACCAATGTAACACAAGAATAACGCTTTTATTTCCTGGCAAATCGTCTATTCTAGAGGCAGCAGATCGCAGATTGTTCTTGTTTTGTTCATAGCTGAAGAACGGAATTCCGTGAGGGGCCCAATACAATCCAAGTGATTTAATTCTGTTTCCAGCCTCGGAAAATTTTTGCCATGCTTTATCCGTCACTTCCTTTTTACCAACTAAGATGGTTAACTTCAGTAGCACTGCTATACGTTGAAACCAATTTCTTATAGTAGAGTCTCCTATCATTAGTAATGGGCGATCCTTCAAGCACTTAGCATATGATTCTCTTTTCCATGGCATCAAAGTCTTGCATAGCAACGATCGCCATTTACCATTATAAAAGTACCCGGCCGGGGTGCTGATCTGCCACGTGACTTCACTCTTAATATCACTGCATGAAACCATTGGTTCTTGCCAAGCACCAGAATCTGAGGAGAGAAAGCGAAGGCAATTCATAACATAATTCTAAGTCTATATCAACATATTATCTATATCAACTTACTAAAACATATCTTATTGCCCCGCTCCCTTTCCTATGAGAAGTGTGAGATCCGATGCCATCAAATTCATAATTTTGAAAAAATCAGTTTTGGACTCTTCCATCCATGAAAAGAATTCTGCTAGATATAGATGTAAAGAAGATTTAAAAAAAATTGAAGTCAATTTGACCCCTTTGGGCCCTGGCCATCATGTATTCTTAAAATTTATTTTTCTTACATAATCTTTAGTATACTTTATAAGGAATAATGTGAGATTATGCATTCCCCAATTTCAGTAAAGCATCTATAATTCTAGGATAGTTTGGAATGTTTCCAATAGAAATCAAACAAATTACATCAAAGAGAAAAAAAAACAATACCAAATATGCTAACCCTACACCAAATATGCTAACCCTACATAAAATATACTAACCATACATAAAATATACCAACCCTACACCAAAACATACTAACCCTACACCAAATATACTAACCCTATATAAAATATACTAACCCTACACCAAATATACTAACCCTACACCAAATATACTAACCCTATATAAAATATACTAACCCTACACCAAATATACTAACCCTACACCAAATATACTAACCCTACATAAAATATACTAACCCTACACCAAATATACTAACCCTACACCAAATATACTAACCCTACATAAAATATACTAACCCTACACCAAATATAGTAACCCTACATAAAATATACTAACCCTACATAAAATATACATAAAATATACTAACCATATATATAATATACTAACCCTACACCAAATATACTAACCCTACATAAAATATACTAACCCTACATAAAATATACTAACCCTACATAAAATATACTAACCCTACATAAAATATACTAACCCTACATAAAATATATACCCTACATAAAATATACTAACCCTACATAAAATATCCTAACCCTACATAAAATATACTAACCCTACATAAAATATACTAACCCTACACCAAATATACTAACCATACATAAAATATACTAACCATACATAAAATATACTAACCCTACACCAAATATACTAACCCTACACCAAATATACTAACCCTACATAAAATATACTAACCATACATAAAATATACTAACCCTACACCAAATATACTAACCCTACACCAAATATACTAACCCTACATAAAATATATACCCTACACCAAATATACTAACCCTACATAAAATATACTAACCCTACACCAAATATACTAACCCTACACCAAATATACTAACCCTACATAAAATATACTAACCATACATAAAATATACTAACCCTACACCAAATATACTAACCTACACCAAATATACTAACCCTACACCAAATATACTAACCCTACACCAAATATACTAACCCTACACCAAATATACTAACCCTACACCAAATATACTAACCCTACACCAAATATACTAACCCTACACCAAATATACTAACCCTACACCAAATATACTAACCCTACACCAAATATACTAACCCTACATAAAATATACTAACCATATATAAAATATACTAACCCTACACCAAATATACTAACCCTACACCAAATATACTAACCCTACACCAAAATATACCCTAACCCTAACCCTACATAAAATATACTAACCCTACACCAAAATATACTAACCCATAAAATATACTAACCATATATAAAATATACTAACCCTACACCAAATATACTAACCCTACACCAAAACATGCTAACCCTACACCAAATATACTAACCCTATATAAAATATACTAACCCTACACCTAATATACTAACCCTATATAAAATATACTAACCATATATAAAATATACTAACCCTACATAAAATATACTAACCATACATAAAATATACTAACCCTACACCAAATATACTAACCCTACACCAAAATATATACATAAAATATACTAACCATATATAAAATATACTAACCCTACATAAAATATACTAACCCTACATAAAATATACTAACCCTACATAAAATATACTAAGCCTACATAAAATATACTAACCATACATAAAATATACTAACCCTACATAAAATATACTAACCCTACACCAAATATACTAACCTACACCAAATATACTAACCCTACACCAAATATACTAACCCTACACCAAATATACTAACCCTACACCAAATATACTAACCCTACACCAAATATACTAACCCTACACCAAATATACTAACCCTACACCAAATATACTAACCCTACATAAAATATATAACCATATATAAAATATACTAACCCTACACCAAATATACTAACCCTACACCAAATATACTAACCCTACACCAAATATGCTAACCCTACATAAAATATACTAACCATATATAAAATATACTAACCCTACACCAAATATACTAACCCTACACCAAATATACTAACCCTACACCAAATATACTAACCCTACACCAAATATGCTAACCCTACATAAAATATACTAACCCTACACCAAATATACTAACCCTACACCAAATATACTAACCCTACATAAAATATACTAACCATATATAAAATATACTAACCCTACACCAAATATACTAACCCTACACCAAATATACTAACCCTACATAAAATATACTAACCATACATAAAATATACTAACCCTACACCAAATATAGTAACCCTACATAAAATATACTAACCATATATAAAATATACTAACCCTACATAAAATATACTAACCATACATAAAATATACTAACCCTACACCAAATATACTAACCCTACACCAAATATACTAACCCTACATAAAATATACTAACCCTACACCAAATATGCTAACCCTACATAAAATATACTAACCCTACATAAAATATACTAACCCTACATAAAATATACTAACCATATATAAAATATACTAACCCTACATAAAATATACTAACCCTACACCAAATATACTAACCTACACCAAATATACTAACCCTACACCAAATATACTAACCCTACACCAAATATACTAACCCTACACCAAATATACTAACCCTACACCAAATATACTAACCCTACACCAAATATACTAACCCTACACCAAATATACTAACCCTACACCAAATATACTAACCCTACATAAAATATACTAACCATATATAAAATATACTAACCCTACACCAAATATACTAACCCTACACCAAATATACTAACCCTACACCAAATATACTAACCCTACACCAAATATGCTAACCCTACATAAAATATACTAACCCTACACCAAATATACTAACCCTACACCAAATATACTAACCCTACAACAAATATACTAACCCTAAAACAAATATACTAACCCTACACCAAATATACTAACCCTACACCAAATATACTAACCCTACATAAAATATACTAACCATACATAAAATATACTAACCCTACACCAAATATAGTAACCCTACATAAAATATACTAACCATATATAAAATATACTAACCCTACATAAAATATACTAACCATACATAAAATATACTAACCCTACACCAAATATACTAACCCTACACCAAATATACTAACCCTACATAAAATATACTAACCATATATAAAATATACTAACCCTACATAAAATATACTAACCCTACATAAAATATACTAACCCTACATAAAATATACTAACCATATATAAAATATACTAACCCTACATAAAATATACTAACCATATATAAAATATACTAACCCTATATCAAATATACTAACCCTACATAAAATATACTAACCCTATATAAAATATACTAACCCTATATAAAACATACTAACCCTACATAAAATATACTAACCCTACATAAAATATATAACCATATATAAAATATACTAACCCTACATAAAATATACTAACCATATATAAAATATACTAACCATATATAAAATATACTAACCCTACACCAAATATACTAACCCTACATAAAATATATACCCTACACCAAATATGCTACCCTACATAAAATATACTAACCCTACATAAAATATACTAACCCTACATAAAATATACTAACCATATATAAAATATACTAACCCTATATCAAATATACTAACCCTACACCTAATATACTAACCCTATATAAAATATACTAACCCTATATAAAACATACTAACCCTACATAACACATTCTGACTCTATATAACATATTCTGACTCTATATAGAATATGGTTTTGAAGGTTTTATGCAATCACTCTGACATACTTACGTGTGTAACAAGAGGTCACATACATATAATTTACATGATACATGGCGTATGATAATAAGTACAAAATTACAACTTTTCTGTAAATAATGATGTTTCACTTTTGCACAATTACATAGGAAAAGAGCACAACCGAGTACAGAGATAAACTCAATAATTTGAATCTACAAATTTTGTGAACATTTTTACATTAATCAAACAAACATTTATTTTAATTTGACTTGAAAAAGTGAAATAAAAGTTTGGTATATATTTCTCTCTTAGACAATTTACTGGTTCATTTGGCATTTAGATAAATAATGAAAGTCATTTCCAATGTCGGAATTATTCAAAGTACAGGTTGTCTCGTGACGAGGAATACCTAATCAGCTTCCTGTTTCTACAGGTAAATGTATTCTTTTAAAGAACGAAACTTACACATAATTTTTTTTATCTTTAGTATTCAGCTTAATTTCTGTATGCATTGATCATTCAGTCTATTTTCACCAGTGTCTTAATTTCATTTTTAGAAAAGGGACATGTAGTACCAGACATAATTCAGATCAGTTTGAAAAAAATTAGCATTTGTGAGCCATTTAAATGACATGGTTCCAATTTCTCGCAAAGTATACATTAACTTTGCTAGATCAGTAAGATACCACCATATCGGACAAGTTAATACAAGAGGAATACATGTAGTTTAAACAAACAGAACAAAACAAGAGCAAAACAATGATTTACCGCTAAAACTGATAAAGAAGATACAATAAAAAAGTATATAAATTTTGGATGTATATTACAAATATTTGTGTAAAACAAAAAAATCTTTAAAAAGATGTTTATTTTCACGGTCTTAGATAAATACATATAATACATGTTTAATTGCTTTATTATTTAATATTACGATACTTTCCCTAAGACAAATTTTCGCTTATTATTTTCTCTCATGTACTTGATCAACCGGTATCCCTGACTGCATAATAGTCCTATTGCACGTTTCCGGTAACTCTTAGGTCATAGGTAAACTGGATATAAAACACCACATCCGGATTCTTCAGCAATGGCGATCGTTTGTGTTATGCTTAGTGTAAGTGACTTGAATTGACCAAAAAATGACGTCCAGTATTGTAAACGAATTGATCTGATACTGAAGCAAATGTTTCTTATTTTCGCTCATGGAGTTTCATTGATTTTTTTTATGAAAAAAAACCCCCATTTTCTTCGAAAGATTTGCACAATAACATTTGACCCCGACGTTTAACTGCCAAGTGCTAGGCCTTTACGATATCAAAAGCATAGAAGTTTTTCTAGATGATTTCATTACCTCAATCATCGATTGTAGCCAGGAAAAAAAACGAGTATGTATGTGTATTCTGGTCCCCAATCGACAATTAAGGTACAATTCAAATCATCTAGGCAAGTTGTTTGAAGCACAGGGATTTGTTAAAAACTTAAATTACGGGACACAACCACACGTACATCGCCACCGGCAAAAAATGAAAAGGTAAAGTAAGTGCTGAAAAACTTCATTTTGAAAATTTGCGATACTGGCAGAAATCTCACATACTGACTAGCTTCCTCCTTTGTGTATGTTAACGTGTGGCTGGCCGTACGTTTTGTTAAAAATGCAAGCGCCTGTGGTTGGAGTTACCATTTAGGGTCAGAGTACCCAAATTGGAACACTTTCGATAAATCCGGTATAACACTTCTAATTTCATAATACAAATAAATGTAATGTTTACTCAATTAAATTTGAAGTAATTTTATGCATTTTGAGTAAATTTCATCTGCCTACTCACTGCCATTGCTCATAAACTCGAGTGAAATGGAAAAAAGAATTACAAAAAATAGAAATGTGAAACATGGAAAAAAGAATTTAGGAGCATTGTCAAAACATTTCAACATGAAGATTTTTTTTTTTCAAATATCTAAATTACTTTCATAAACTGCTGTTTATAATGAAGTGTTTAAAACTGCACATTCTAGTCTGGTTGTTTTGTGGTCTATCACATATTATCTTGTGGTGGTGGAGCATTGTCAAAACATTTCAACATGAAGATTTTTTTTTTCCCACACAAATATCAAGAGTGATTGATATCAATTAATTGTTGAAAAATAAATAGTTTATATCATAAACATAACTATCAAGAAAATGAAACAAAAGCAGAAAGTATGTATCCATGAAATAATGAAAGTGAAAATTTAAATTTGGTACAATTATTTTTAAACGTGCCTATTAGAATGTCAATATGAGCTAGTCTGGCATATAGATCAAGTTCTAAAAATATTTTGGTTTTTTATAACATTTATACATTTTTATGATATTAATAGCTCCATGTGCTAGCAAATTATTATTTAGTGATGGATCCAGAATATCCAGATACAGTAATTTGCTTTGATCAAAAGTAAACCCCTAACACTAATTAAATTTGATCAAGTTTATTGCAACAAGATAGTAACTCTAAAACCAATACATACAATACATGAAATAAAACACTAATAAACCATATAATAATACAGTACATACACATCTACTTACTTACATGTACAATAAAACGTAGTTATTTTCTGCTACAGGTCTTTTTTTATATCATTAATTTTTAAAATTTTCACACCCGGGTTGAATAAGGGAAATATGATGTTTAAATTTGGTCAGTTTTCTGCAGTGTTGTTGACAGTTTTGACGTGTTATTTATTGTAAATACAACTGCCGACATTTTGTTTCTGCATTGAAATTGAAAGATTTATACCAGCTATCATGTCAGCAAGAATCTGCTGTGTTTTTGGCTGCACCAACGGTGTCCCAGAACTGAAGAAATTGAAATCCAAAATGTTGTGTATTTGAACCACTACTGTTTCTTTTTCCTTTTCCAACCTTCCTAAAGGACAGCCATGCGAGAAATATATGGATAAAGAATGTTAACAGAGGTGGGATGGATGGTGCTATTTCCTGGACCATGGTGTAAAATATGTGTAAATTATGAAGAACAATATAAAAATATGTGACACAAAAGTTTCAGTGAAAAAAGTAAAAAAAAAAACAATGGATAAACATACAAATGTAAACGTAAAATCCGCAGGCTGCCATGTTTATCGCGACGGAATGTTTATATCCAGTTGACCTTTGACATGCATATATAGTGACCTAAAACAAGATGGCGGACGTGTGTGTGCAATAGGACTATTAAGGGATTTTTGTTTTCATTGTGATCGTGATTTCAGATTTTTCTCCAGTACAGGTCGTCATAGGAAAAATATTGGAATACTTACTACTTAGGACAGTTACTCTTGATACTCTTTTCTTGAAATACTTGTATTTCCTGAAGTGAAAAAAATCATGGATTGCCTATTACCGCTGCAGTTATATTGAGGGAAAACTGCTCCTTTGCGGAACGTTTTATTCGAAACGGGTTTTTTTTTCATATTTTTGTTTTAGAAGTTTTGATAATGCATTTTCAAAATTGGTACTGAAAAAAATGGTTGAAGAGCAGCCATTTTTTATTTTGACAGGGAAGTTTTGTAATCGCTATTTCCTAATAAGCGCCAGATGTAAATCAAAGTAGACAAGAGAAAAGAAGACAAAAGAAATGGAAATGGAATTCTAGAAACTATGATAATGCAACATATCAACATCCGTCCTTTTGTCGTTTTTATGGAATTATCAGAACCAGTTAAACACTTGAAATGTGATATTTGAATAAACTTAATGGTTATCAACGTAAAGTCAATTTTAATTACCATAAACTTATGTTTTAAAAGTAATATTCACTTACGAAAATAATGACTTGTGTTTTTCGCTGCATGGGTACTGAGGTGCTCGTTCATATACAATCCAATCTTCACAGCTCATAGTGAAAGGTTTTCCACAGAAAAAAGACATATTGTAAATCTGGGCCGTAAAGTTACAGTATTCTGTCACGTGAGGAATATTTGGTAAAACGCTACATAAAGTTGTCTCCGTCCTATTACCTTTCCGAAATCCTGCTTTAAGGAACATAATTAAACCATATTTATGCACAATATTCATGAAAATTCCAACGTGTTCCTTTGTATTTGCGATAGAAAACATCACTTCTGGTTTTCCAGCCCACATAGCTTTAACAACCCCTGTGTATGATCCGTCACCATGGTCAGTCACATGACCGGAAACCGATGCCTTAACTGAAGGTTCTCGAAGCCACACCCGGAGTATATCACCTCCCATTTTAGACCTCTCTCCTCTGCCGTTGTACAACACAATATCGACTATTATGTCATCTCCAATGCTGACGTTGCTGCTTCTGACGGTTATTACTGAATTTGAAATGTTTACTAACGAATGGAAGTCCTTGTAATCTTTGAATTCCATATACGTGTTAATTCCATACAACGTATACACCGACATATTCACTTTTGGAATAAATTTTATTATGGAAGTTACATCCGAATCGCTTAGATTAGAAGCTTGTATTGGTATGGCCGAGGGCACATCAGACTTATATATTTCTTTTATGTCCGGGAGCACTGCTGGGTCGAACCTGTAAAATACATACATAAATCTTATATAGAAGGGATAACAGATATTCCTCAAGAAGATGATACTCCCGGACACAATTAACTGCTGTCATACATGTACAGAAATATTACAGGTATAACATGATGTTTCATTGTGTAGCCAGGTGATAGAATACATCATTTTAAATCATCGCGCGTAAAGCAAGTATGAAAGAATGTATGTATGTGCACGTCGAGCACGGACTTCACGTCCTCTGTCCAGTCACCGCCAACTCCCACCAAGAGCCACCACACTCGCACAGCATCACTCAGACAGTCAACACGTAGGCTAACCTGTCAAATCTGAAGCGAGAGCACCAAAGCCGGCGTCCCTGGTAAGCTTAATTAATATAAGTCACATTAATATATTGTAATCTTCAAACTATAAATACATTCCTCATAAGTTACCGCAGTGTGCAAGGTGTGTGAGTGAATGTGTATTTATAATTGTATTTTTAATTTTAGGTCTTCTTCAGACAATTAAATCATTTTCCAACCAAAGAAGGGGTTTTGGTAGTCTATCCACCCACGGTTACAATTTGGCGCCCAACGTGTATTTGCGAGGAAGACCAGGGTCTACCCTCTTGGTTCCCTGACAGTGACAGGACGGGGTTCCCGTCAAGTCCGTTCCGGCGATTAGACGTACCGGAAAATACCGGAAGTGATGGTCCCCATGCATATGGCCGAAGCGTATACGTATTAGGACACACGAGGCAGAGGAGCAGAGCGCTGGATACTGTTTCGATAAGTATAATGTGATCAATAACTTGTCAGTGACAAATGCAGGATTTCGAAATGATGGACGGCATCGATGATTCGATTTGATGTGTGTTACTGACGAGGGGTACCACTGATCTGTTGTAGTGTTGCAGTGACATTAGTGCCTACCTTGTGCTATCGGAATCCGTGATGTACATTTGGATAACGATTAACACTTTCAAAACTTCGTTTAAATATGTATTTTCAATATCATATAATTAATTCATATGATCATTGGTAATTAGACTGTGATATTGTATTGTAATATTTAATTTTGAAAGTCAGTTCAGTGGATACTTTAAATCAATTATTGTGCTTAATATGATGACTGTGATAACTGTTTAGTGTGAATGCGAGTGTCAGAATGTGTTAGTTTTATTATCTTTGTATACTTTGTGATATCTTTATCTTGCCAGGGACAAAAGGATCATTGATCTTCCTATCCTGTCATCTCATCATCACCACTTGATCTATTTAATTGCATCACCATCGTCATAATCATCTCTACCAGCGTCATCACCTGTTTGTTGAATCCAACATTGTCACTTCATTACCCCCCCCCCCCCCCTTTGCACTTTTCCTTCCTGATCCCATAGCACAGAATGAAATGAAAGGTAAGGTAAATCATTTTCATTGATCTGTTATTCATTGTCATGAGATTGCACCTGGCTGCTTATTCCTGATAGTTTTAATAGTTATTTATGAAATAGTGTGTTTATCCTTTCATTGTTGTGAATACGTGCCATTCTATAAATGAGTTTGAGTAAATTAAATAAATTTCTCAATAAACCTGTCAATGCACCAGAGAGTTTGAAAAGCAAACCTGTTCTAGTTACCAGCAGTAAGGGTTTCTCTCTGTGTAGAAATTTAGATCTTATTACCAAATTCGGTTATGCTATTGATGTGAACTGCTGGCCTGGAGCTACTTTTGTTCAAACTTGGAATTGGTTAAAGCGAAATCTGGCCCGAAAAGTAGACCAGTATGATATTGTCACTTTATACATATGGATAGGTACATGTGACCTAACAATAAAAAAAGGCAAGTTCATATCTCTCGCACATGAGACAGATAGCCAATGTGAGGACTATATTCACACACAAATAGACCGTATTGTGAATTTTGTTAAAGATTATCCATCAGTTAAACTTATCTTTTTGGAAATACCTCCATATTCCATTGTCATCTGGAATTCTACCAAAGGTCATAGTAACCCAGATAGTTTTAAGGAGCAGGATCGGCTTCTTGAGAGTAGAATAGCCTTACTAAATAACTATATTCAAGAGGTTGATGCACGGTCTGGTACAAGGTCATTAAATTTCACAGCAGATCTTTTGAAATACCATAGAGCAGGCAGGAAGCCTGTAGTTAACTTTAATCTCTTTAAAGATGGTATCCACCCTGATAGAATTTTAGCTCGGGTGTGGATGAAGAGATTCATGACTAAAATTTTTCATGATTGTTGTTAACCTTTTTCTGTGTATTTATATATATAGTTAGATATTATATTCAGTGCTGTAAGTTGTATTTGTAACTATGGAAACTGAATGGGCATCTGAGGATGCTGATCTTCAAGGTCAAGTGCAGGACACCCAAGCAGAGTTTACAAATGCTGCTACAGGGGGCCCTGGGGATAAAAAAGTAGATCCTATCGATATTAAGGAGGAAGGTAAAGTTACATTTAATATGTCTGATGAAGCGATGGTTCAATACCTTATGTCTAAGGGAAAGTATACAATTACCCCTAAAGGTTCTGATCCACTGCTCATTCCCCCACTGGGAAGGAACAGAACTGGTTCCTTATCATTTTTGAGTAGTACCAGGAATGATAGCCAATCTTCATTTACTCCTAGACATTTACAAAATGTTCCTAAAATTCCACCTTTCTCAGGTGATGATCCCCCACTAAAGGGGGATGTATCTTACATTGAATGGCGATTTGAAATTCGCAGTCTGGACCATGATCCTGATATCTCACAGAGTCTCCTGATACAGGCTATCAGGCGTTCATTGCGAGGCACAGCCCGTCGAATGTTAGTTACTCTGGGTGAGGGATCAACTGTTTCACAAATATTGGCCAAGTTGGACTCCTTGTTTGGAGACACCTCAACTCATGGTATGGTCATGCAGGAGTTTTTCAACTCTAAACAAAGACCAGATGAGTGTGTTGTTAACTTTGGCTGTCGACTTGAATCATTGTTACAAACAGCCATTGATAATGGATCTTTGCATAGGTCGGCAAAGAATGACCTCCTCAGACACAAGTTTTGGACTTCTCTCCATTCGGATAGGTTAAAAAGCCAAACCCGACATAAGTACGACTCTATTACCAGTTATGATCAACTTTTAAGGGAGATCAGAACTGTAGAAAAGGAGATCAGTATAACAAAACAGGTGGACATACCTGCTACAGGGTCAGCCACGGGAGAGGGTCATAAGAAAAAGGGTAAAGTCAGTAGTCAAGCTGTTAGTTGTGAAGTTGAACAGCAGCATGTGTCAAGCATAGCTGATTTACATAGGGAGTTTGAAAAGAAGCTAAAGGATGTCGAAGATAAACTGTCCACTAAATTTGACACCAAACTAGACAATATCCTTTCCAAACTTGGTGATCTAGGTCAAAGTAAGTCTGCTCAAGGTCAGAACCAAAATCAAGGTCAAAGGTCAAATAGAGGTCGAGGTAATCGGGGATATCGATACAACAACAAACAAAAGGGCAAAGGCAATACAAATAATGGATCAAAGGACAACCCAAACAAGTAGGGGTCTCTGCTAGTGGCCGAGTGGAGACCATCAATCAAACTAAAGGTCAAGGTCACAGTGATATTTTGGATAGGCTTATTGGAGTGTCCAATGAGGATGTAGTTTTTATTGAAGGTCATCGAGTTAAATGCTTGATAGATAGTGGATCCATGATAACAACGATTTCCAAAACTTGGTATGAACAATTGCCTAATAAGCCAGAGCTGAATGATATTACAACTCTAGTGGATATTACAGTAGCAAATGGTTCCAAGCTACAATACTTGGGTTATGTTGAAGTGGAGTTGTGTATACCTTTCTTGACGGACAAAGCGTTTAGCATTTTAGCGTTAGTTGTACCCGATACTGACTATAACAAGAACTGCCCTGTACTGTTAGGTACCAATGCAATTCGCCTAGCGAGGAACTGTACTTCTGAAGGTGTAAATATACCAGATTCATGGCAAACAGCTATTGACAGTATTACCTGTTCATACACAGTAAAATCATTTAACAGGAAGACTGTTAAACTGGCTCCTTATGAGTCAATAGTTGTTAATGGTATGGTTCGTGGTCTTGACCCCGGCGTAGAAAATATGGTGACAGAAAACTTTGAAAATTCTAACCTGAAGTTCACAGTCTGCCCCAGAGTGGTTAAGGTTAAACAAAGTGTGTCAAATATTAAGTTACCTATTAAAATTTGCAATATTACTGCAAAATCATTAACTATCAACCCCAGATCTACAATCTGTATCGCTAATGAGGTGAAAGTGGTTGATAATTTGGCATCTGATTTACAAGTTAAGTCACCAGAGTCTTTACCTGAAGAATTAGGTCTCAATATTGACACACAAAATCTTACTGAGGCACAACTGTTGAGGGTTCGTCAAGTCTTGGGGAACTGGAAGCATGCTTTTTCCACCAGTGCTTTTGACATCGGTTGTACGAACTTAGTTAAACATAAAATAGACCTCATAGATGAAAGGCCATTTAAGCAGCCTTACCGGAAGATTCCACCGGGCATGTATGAGGAAGTCCGCCAGCATCTACGTGATATGCAGGACGCCGGTGTCATACGAGAGAGCAATAGCCCATTCTCAAGTAATGTGGTTCTTGTCCGCAAAAAAGACGGTAGTCTTAGATTTTGTATTGATTACCGTTTGCTGAACTCTCGTACCAGAAGAGATGCATATATGCTGCCTCGGTTCGACGATACAGTCGATACCTTATGTGGTTCAAGGTACTTCTCAAAACTAGACCTACGTTCTGGTTATTGGCAAGTCGAGGTAGACGAATCCGACATAGAAAAAACCGCCTTCTCGGTAGGTAACCTTGGTTTTTGGGAAACCAACCGGATGGGTTTTGGCCTCACCAATGCACCAGCTACTTTCCAGCGTTTAATGGAAAAGTGCATGGGTGACATGCATCTCAGAGAATGTCTCATTTTCCTTGATGATATTCTCATATTCTCAAAGACATTTGACGAGCACCTGGTCAGGTTAGAATCTGTCTTCGCCAGACTCGTGCAGCATGGCCTGAAATTAAAACCCTCCAAGTGTGAGCTATTCAAGTCATCAGTCACATATCTCGGACATGTAGTTTCAGAGGATGGCATAGCAACAGATCCTGAAAAGGTATCTGCTGTAAAGGATTGGCCAGAACCAAAGAACGTAAAGGAGTTACGTCAGTTTCTAGGCTTTAGTGGCTACTACAGGCGTTTTATAAAAGATTATGCCAAAATAGTACAGCCTCTTAACCAGTTATTAAAGGGCCATGACTTGAAGAAAAAGACTAAGTCTGTCAAGCCTCGGCAATCAAAGTCAAAGCCAAAAGCTAAAGCCCACTGGGTTTGGGGCACACCTCAACAAGAAGCTTTTGATTTGGTTAAAGAGAAACTGATTCATCCTCCTGTTCTTTCCTATGCAGACTTCTCCAAAGATTTTGTCCTACACACTGATGCTTGTACCTTAGGTTTAGGTGCAGTATTGTATCAAGTGCAGGATGGGACGGAGAAGGTTATTGCATATGCCAGTCGTGGTTTAAGAGCCAGTGAACGGAATTATCCGGCACATAAGTTAGAATTTCTTGCATTGAAATGGGCAGTTACAGAAAAACTTCATGATTATCTCTATGGTAACCATTTTGAAGTTGTAACAGATAACAACCCCCTAACATATGTGCTGGGTAAGGCCAAGCTTGATGCTACCTCTCAGAGGTGGGTAGCAGCTTTAGCCAGTTACAACTTTACTCTGAATTACCGAGCTGGGAGAAACAATGCCGATGCAGATGGTCTCTCCAGAATGTCTCAAATTCAACCCGATGCTGTTCAGGCTATATGTCATTCAGCGGTCTCTGTGGTTCCACTAGTGAGTAGTGTGTCGGATGCTGTTGTGGCTGATGTGGCCAGTCAGTCTACGGCAGACCTCGATACACTTTGCACAGTTGACTGGGAAAAAGAACAAAGGGTTGACCCAGACGTTGCTAGAGTTTCAGACCTTGTTAGAACCGGTTTTCATCCCAGGGGGAAACCATTACACAATGAATCCCCATATGTGCAGAAACTCCTTAGAGCTTGGAGCAGGTTATGTTTGCGCCAAGGAGTTCTCTATAGAACCGCTTCTCTCGACGGTCAGAAAGTGTATCAGCTGGTCCTCCCAAAACATTACCATTCCCTAGCACTTAAGGGTGTCCATGATGATGTTGGACACCAGGGAAGGGAGAAAACCCTGTGGTTGGCACGGCAACGCTTTTACTGGCCCGGCCTTGAGAAGGACGTAAACATGAAAGTTGAGACTTGTGGTCGCTGTGTTAGACGTAAAACACCTGTGAAACCAGTCGCTGAGCTCGTCCCAATAGAAACTTCTAGACCACTTCAAATACTTTGTATTGACTTTTTAAGCCTAGAGAAATCTTCAAGTGGGTACGAAAACATCCTGGTGATAACTGATCACTTTACCAGATATGCTCAGGCGGTGCCCTGCAGAAACCAGACAGCACATACAACAGCTAAGGCTTTGTACGAAAAGTTCATAGCCTATTACAGCTTCCCTGAGCAGCTTCACAGTGATCAGGGTCGTAACTTTGAAAGTAAAGTTATTAAGGAACTCTGTAAAATTGCAGGTGTTCGAAAGACCCGAACAACCCCATATCACCCACAGGCAAACGGCTCAGCAGAAAGGTTCAATAGAACACTCCTAGGGATGCTTGCAACTCTTGAGGAGCACAAGAAACCTGACTGGACCTCATACATAGCACCACTTGTCCAGGCCTATAATGCAACAAAGAGTGATGCCACTGGATATGCACCTCACTATCTAATGTTCGGATGGCATCCTCGATTGTCTGTAGATGCGTTCCTCGGAATTAACCCAGATCAACAGGGAGCAGTTGACCAAGCCTCCTATGTAGGTAAGCTACGTGGTCGTATGGAGTTTGCGTACGAGACAGCTCGTAAAACCGCCTCCAAAAAAACTGCTCAGAACAAGGACCGTTATGACAGGTCGGTTCGGGAGTCAAAATTAGAGGTTGGTGACCGTGTTTTAGTTAGAAAAACCGGTCTGAAAGGAAAAAACAAATTGGCGGATAGGTGGGAACAGGAACCCTATTTGGTCATCGGTATACCAAATAGTGATATTCCAGTTTATAAGGTTGCTCTTGAGTCCAAGAAGGGAACCAAACGAACCCTTCATAGGAACATGCTGCTTCCATTTAACTCCATTCCAGTGGATGTTTCCCCCAAGGAAGATAACCGCAAGGTTGTACATTCCAAAAAGCCATTTCCTTCTGAACAAAAAGGTTCAGAACCAACTTCCTCATCTCAGGATTCTGACTCTTTCTCAGACTCAGATTCTGTGCTCCTGCCTGTATATAAGAGGCGCTCTACTAGACAGATGAGAAACTGTGAGCCCGACAGAAATGACACCACTGTGCCTACAACTTTATCAGTTGTTGACTCGGGTACATCAGGTGAGCAAACTCGGCAACATTCTGTGCTGGAAATACCTCACGATTCTGTACATGAATCGGAGATTGATCCTGCCCCACTAGATGAGAATGTGTCAGAAAATCTTAGTACAGAGATCCAACCTGTGCTAAGAAGATCTACTCGGCCGTCCAAACCACCTGAACGCTGGGGCTATCCGGTTTTCTCACTGCACGCAGCTGATGTAGAGTCTGGTGAAATTTTTGTGTAAGGAACGATCAACCGAATGTGACACTCATGTTTTAATATACATTGTTTTTAATAACCCATTATTTTTTATTTCACTGGCAATGTTCCACAGTAAGTAAGCTGTATTTTAATATCATATGGTGTTTCAACCCCATTTCATTAATGATCTGTGATCCTTTCATGTAATTAACTATGTGGTACTTACCATGTTGTCTGGTATGGGGCTCCCAAACCGTCAGCATCGGTATGTTGTATTACATATGTTATTGTACATATCAGCTGTTATTGCATGTAAATGTGATAACTATTTCGCAAATTGTTAGATTCCTATCTAATATAGAGTGTATTTTGTGATTAAACATGCTCAACAGAACTCTTTCCTTTTCATAGACAATAACCAGTAGTAATAGGGTTGTCCAAGGGAGATAACTGTTCATCTGATTATACTTGAGCATATTTTTAGTTCCTTCTGCAAAGATGGTCCTGAATAAACTCCTGTGCTTTGTTCTAGTTGTTTTGGTGCATTCGGTTTCTAATTATTACACATTATTTAACCGTGGATCTTCAACTATAGGAACACTATTGTTTCTAGAGCAATAGTCTTAACCTATAACCTTGAATAAAAAGTTTATTAATTCTTGGTTTGGTAGAAAGTTGAGAAATGCCAGGAGACATTTCATAAAGCGGGGGAGTATGTAGCCAGGTGATAGAATACATCATTTTAAATCATCGCGCGTAAAGCAAGTATGAAAGAATGTATGTATGTGCACGTCGAGCACGGACTTCACGTCCTCTGTCCAGTCACCGCCAACTCCCACCAAGAGCCACCACACTCGCACAGCATCACTCAGACAGTCAACACGTAGGCTAACCTGTCAAATCTGAAGCGAGAGCACCAAAGCCGGCGTCCCTGGTAAGCTTAATTAATATAAGTCACATTAATATATTGTAATCTTCAAACTATAAATACATTCCTCATAAGTTACCGCAGTGTGCAAGGTGTGTGAGTGAATGTGTATTTATAATTGTATTTTTAATTTTAGGTCTTCTTCAGACAATTAAATCATTTTCCAACCAAAGAAGGGGTTTTGGTAGTCTATCCACCCACGGTTATAATTGTTTATTTTATCAATATATATTGTACGCCAATAATGAGAATAATAAGCCGAATTCAAATCTTGGTGTGTCATTGTTCTTCACAGTGCATGGTGTAGGCTTGTTAGTTAGAGACCCGTACACGCGTGATGTTTATCATCGAAACGATATGCTACGGTACGCTGCACCTTTTATAATCTCGGGGCCGCTCAGTTTCGTGGGAAGACCTAACTTGATGCGGTATTTAATTCGTTGTTTTTATATATTGCTTAAGTCTGATTATTGAAGATCAATATTAACTCAGATTTACTGATTTCATAATTAATTTGAAATTATAGAAGTTTAAGTACGAAAATGTTTTTAAACACTGTTGGATAAAACAAAAAATAAAATAATTAAAGTATAGAGCATATAAGAAACTATGATATAAATAGAACATGTACATAATATATACAATTAACCGAGTCATATGGCTGACATACGAAGGAATTAAAAATATCGGTAAATCAATAGAAATGACAACAATTTTTTTTTAAATACCTACCGCGGTAGGAAACAGGTTATCCATATTATGACTATTAGTGCACCACAGAAAAGTATCCTTCGAAAGTACACAGATTCGGTCACAGACATGTTAACTGTTATTACCTTCAGCTTGGTAACGCTCAATAGCGGGGCCGTCTCGAAACATTTTTGGGCCACCTATGTTAAATTTTGTGCATGTATTTATAAATGACTATATTTCTTTTACCTGTGTATTTACATGTATGCATGTTCCCATACATGACGTATTAACTGTGTGCACACTTGTGGAAGTTATTTCTTAAATTAATACCACAGCAGTATTTTCGCGATATTTACGGGAAGACTTTTGTAAATCTAGCAAGGATAAATCATAGAAATAGAAGTCGTGTCGTTATGTATTAATATTGTTCGCAGTTATGAGATCTCGGGATTCCGACGGATAAACCGACGGTAGAATGTCAGCACGTGAAAACCGACACGCGTCTGTTGGTCTTTTCCGACCGGATTCAGTTTGACAGTAGCTGTCAGCTAGTACAGGTGTGTGTTGTATGTGTGCTGTGTTTGGACTATCCGCCGGGTAACTTGATGAATTTCTAGTCCCGATGCGGTCTGTCTTTTGTCCTATGAAATGTTGGGGGTGGTGTTACTGATAGAAATACATTATTTAAGGTCTTTTGAGAAGTTTTGCCTTAATTATTTACTATTTTGACCGTTTTGGGACTATTCGTTCTTATTGGGATGGACGGGTGGTATTTTTAACACTGGTTAATTTCTAATTCCCGGTCAGTGGTTACCTTATCAAGTGCTTGACAGGAGTATGTTGATCTATTTTGTACTGGGCCTAGTAGTGAGAGAGATATGTTTGAGAATTAAGTATTATGATAAAATATTTGAATTTAACTAAAAAACGCCTTTGTACTGAAAGTGCATTTTTGTTAGCAATAATAACAAGTATGTTTAAGAGAGAAGGAATAAGAAGCCTGGATTACATGAATTTTGTTTTATTTTTTCATTTTATCAAAGAATGTAAATGTCTTTTCTGGAAGTGTGTAGAGACTAGACCTAGAGTGGATGTGCATTTTCCTAACTTGCATTTTTAAATATTTTGTCTATTTTTAATGTAAACTTCAAGCCTTCTCATTAATGTGTTAATTTTCTGCGTGGAAAGCTAACATAATGATATTAGCTAACGATCCAATAATGTTGTCCTTCTTACTTGTAAAGTATGGAGTTGTAGAAATTAACTATTTAAGTCTGAAAGATTGTGTGAGTCTGATAGAATTATTAATGTAAATTATTTCTTTGCATATGGAAAGCGTTGCCTAATTCAGTATTGAAATTTATTACAATCTTTCGGTTTTTTTTACAACTGAGCTACATATCTAGATTATTTATCATTTATTTATCGGGTTTAGCTCTACATATATTGTGACAGCCTACACGCTACCATGTTGTACAGATCTGAGATTGGGTCCAGATCACTATGGTGTCACAATATTCTGCATTCTCTTTAATAAAGAATCATTTCTATTTGGAATTATATCAACACATACCAGTTCAGTTGATTGTGAAATCTTAATTCTAATTAAACATTATATTCATCGAACTAGATATTTCAACAAAGCTTTACATCTTGATGCTCTTGTTAATGTTATTAAGGATCATGTTCATGTTGGATATCCCCTCCTCCAAATCTTGACATGTGACTTTTTTTTAGATCTGAGAGGAAATGAATTATATGCGTGTGTCCTTCTTCCGTCATATAACTGTGGTTTTAAAAGGATAAAACAATTATTTGAAATGACATAAAAGGAGCGAATGCACCTGGAGAGTAAATAAGTTAATTTTCAAATTAAGAAAAGACTCTAGCTTTAACTAGCTTTTAGTTGTCAAAATGTATCAAATTAAAACTTTCCCAACATGGCCACTAAATTCTGTCAGCTGCATCCCCACACGACAAAATATAGATGGTAATGAAAGAAAGGCTATGGTATTTTAGATGACCGATTTATCTTTATGTACTATATTTGTACATAAAATAAGTTTTTAAACATAATTTCGGGATTCCGAGCTGGAATGAGCTAACGTTACTGTCATGACACTGTGCTGTTGACTCACGTGGTGAAGTAGGCGGGGTCGCTACACCGACCAGAGGGTGACACGTGGTGAAGTAGGCGGGGTCGCTACACCGACCAGAGGGTGACACGTGGTGAAGTAGGCGGGGTCGCTACACCGACCAGAGGGTGACACGTGGCGAAGTAGGCGGGGTCGCTACACCGACCAGAGGGTGACACGTGGTAAAGTAGGCGGGGTCGCTACACGGACCAGAGGGTGACACGTGTTGAAGTAGGCGGGGTCGCTACACCGACCAGAGGGTGACACGTGGTGAAGTAGGCGGTTTCGTTACACCGACCAGATGGTGACACGTGGTGAAGTAGGCGGGGTCGCTACACCGACCAGAGGGTAACACATGGTGAAGTAGGCGGGGTCGATACACTGACCAGAGGGTGACACGTGGTGAAGTAGGCAGGGCCGCTACACTGACCAGAGGGTGACACGTGGTGAAGTAGGCGGGGTTGCTACACTGACCAGAGGGTGACACGTGGGAAATGTGTGGTTGACGGGGTTCAACGTCGATATACATTAATACTAGTAGTATCTTGTTTTATTTGAGATCATTGTATAAGTTTATTGACACAAGAGAAATGTTTAAAAAATGGACTTCACCATTCTGTGTTGGTGATTGAAATTTGCAATACAGAAAAAATATCTTGTTATATAGCGTTTATATTCATGTTCTGTGGGGCGACACTAATACTACCTAGCTAATTACTAGACCTAGTCACACCAGCTTAGCTACAGTCACACACATTTATGTATAACAGCTAAATATATGTATTTCCTCGCGGAATGGTTTGTTAAAGGCTTCCCAGTTTCTGCTTTGTCTTTGATGCCTACGTTAAAGCATAATCTGAATAATCAGCTTGCATGCATTTTAGAATTACCACAAGAAGGCAAATTGTGTAACTGTATACAGATCACGACACAAATTATTTGAGACTTCTCTATACACACTAACACTACAGTAATCTGATTTTTCTGTCATTGTATGCAGAAATACCGACAGTTTGTCAGATTTTTGTGTTTGTATTGAATGTAGTATGGATTCTTTGTCATTATAAGATGATGTTTTTCACTGATAGACGACAACAATAAGAAAGCGCTTGTGAAGTAGTTCCAAAATGAGAAAATTTGACACCGCGTACTTTAAGCACTTTACAGCATTAACAGAAATTGTGTATATGTGCAATTGTACACACACATGAGAATGTTTGTATATATCTCTGTGCTTATATGTAAACACTTTTCAAATTTATATGAATACAAGTATATTTTGTATGAGGAAGGTCGTTGAGAGTAAAAATATTGTATCTTATTCATAGATTACTTAATACATGTATATAATTCATACCTGCCTGAACATCGTCTCCTCAACTGTATATAGGTACAAATACATGAACAAATAATCAATATCAGCTTACCTTACCTTATCCAATTTCGTTTCAACTCACAATAGTATCGTAATCTCTCATTTTCTTTGATGTTCTCACGGAATCACTTTGTACCACATCGTTCTGTCATGACTGGTACTACAAGCTAATGAAACGATTGATTCCATGTGATATACAACATTATACAATAAAGAATTAGCAGTGTAGACTTGTAGTAGTTATCTCTGTAGCTTGTAAAAGAAAGAACACTTTTGATTGGTTGTTTGAAAGAAGGCATTTCATTAGATGGGTAGTCGTATAATTAGAGGTTCCACCAGACGAAAAGCTCTAACAGTCTGTCGGATGGGACTTTAAATGGTGCCCCGTGTAAGGACCGTCCAGCCTTGCACGCAAAAGACCCTCCTGTGGTTTTCGTAACAAGAGAAGGCGCGTATCGCCGCCCAGGAGCCCTAATATCTCCATATACACACCCTTCGACAACTATTTTACATATTCGGACGGACTTCAAAATTAATCCAAAATTAGGTATAAAAATAAATAACGCGCACAACCTGGAGCCCAGACAAAAGAAGACGAGACCCACCACCAACCCGAAGACCAGGACCCAGACATCATAGTACAACGACCAGGAACACCTTTAGATCGGGAGTCGTAAAAATTTCAAAAATCACTGACACCAGACGACTCCCACCCCCAGAGGGGAGCACCCACTCGCGTCGCCCGAAAATCGACATGCGTCGATTGAAACAACGCTCGTAACCGGGAGTTGTTATGGAGACGATAAACCCACCAACAACAACGACGACGACGAAAAGCTCTCTCTCGGATGCTGACAGACGAACGTAAAGGATCTCTAGCTGAAAATAAAAGGTAACAGTGACCAAGCTGAAAAAGTTTGGGCCTAGCTGAATAAGTTAGGGCTCCACTGTAATCCTTTAAAATCGGAACCAATAATTCTTACACGTCTTAAACAAATGTACAAAGTCACGGGAGATCACAGTACAGGGTGATGTGTAGTTGATCAGGTACAGTGACAGGGTACCGAGGCACAGGTTTTGCTGAGACACAGTGTATAGCTGACTTGGTCCAAGTGGTTGAGGCAAAAGGTGACGCAGTCAATGCACGTGTGTCGCGGTGAAGGCTGACGTGGTCAAAGTGTGTCACGGTCAAGTTTGTACAGTCACGGGTGTTGCGGTAAAAGGTTAATTATTTACTACCGACACAGGGTGGCGGGTATATATGTGATATAGTGTTTAGTTGGTATTGAGACTCTATACATGTTAGTGTTAAGGTGTAATAAATGTTAGTTATCTACCGGGTGTAGTTTAGAGTATAGTTATTGAATTCGTATAGTTTATATCATTATTTGAGTCAGGTAGACAGGCCAGTATTTTGTATATATATTGTGGGCATTTTACTATTTGTTAAACAGTTACTGGGTTCAAGATAGAACTTGGTAACGAACTGACAGTGCGCATCCGTTACACTACTATCATTATTGTACATATGTTTTATTATGTTAACCACTGTATGACTGTCTGCCTGTGTCTACATGTCGATATGCCGATTATCTCATTGCTTCACGTGACTTTGATT